GCACTGAGAGGATCATCAACCAAGGCCAATTTGGCCAAGACTGTTCAATGAGGCATGCTTCTCACCCTCGGCCCCAATTCTTCATCTGTTAAACCTAAAGCTCCCGTCAACACCCTGAAGACAGTGCCGAGACACTTGGTTTCACTTTGCCTTTCCGATGTGGCCAGTGTTTTAGTCAGTTTTGCATTGTTTGGACCCAAAGACCCAACTGTGGGAGGCTGCCACGTCATGTGACCAGTATTTTCCTTTCCTGATTGGTGAGGCTCTGTCGGTCACTTCCCATGATCTGGCCACTCACTTCAGAGTGGCGATAGCTGGTGGCCCCCATCTTGAAAGTTGCACAGATGTCGCCAAATGTGTCTTCATGCATGGGCGTTCCTTCCTACCCCACCCCTCTTGATCTTTACTGGTTGGAAATTTCTAAAGAATGAGAGTCCCCTGAATAAAATACCACTCTCTCTCTCAACAGCCTCTCGTGACATTCCTTGCTCTCCCATTTGGGGAGCTTGAGGCCGAGGGCACAGGAGTCGTCCTGGGGCTTGAATTAAAGGTAAAGTGTGTGTCTGTGTTTTATTTGATACCTTAGGAAATCCACTCAAGCGACCCTTAGTTTAGCTGCTGGTCGGGGGCAGCACCCAACAAGAACAACTTAGAGGAGGAAAACTTTATTTTGGCTCACAGTTAGGTTCAGGCCACTGACTCCATAGCCCTGGGCCCAAGGTGAGGCAGACCATCATGGCAGAAGGACGTGGCAGAAGAAAGCAGCTCAGGACATGGTGGCCAGGAAGCAGAGAGAGCTCCCCTCACCAGGGACAAAATGTATATTCCAAAGGCACACCCCCAGTGACCTCTCTCCTCCAGCCAAATACTACCTGCCTACGGTTACCATTCATGTGGATTAAGCGGGTGGTAACTGATGTGGATTGACCCACTGATTAAGTTTTATTCATACTTTAATCATTTCACCTCTGAAAATTCTTGCCTTGTCCCACACATGAGCTTTGGGGGGATACCCCATCTCTAAGCCACACTCACCATATTGTTTAAAGTTCTTTTCACCACTACCTTTTCTGTTTCGTTTTTGTGGCAAGTGGTAGGACCTGGTTTGCTGGGAACTCTGGAGTGAGGCTTCTGACCTAGCACTCTGGTAATAAGCACTGGGGGGACATTTAAGATCCAAACTCTAACATTTGCCTCTGGCCCCCACTAGCTCATATTCATCCCACAATGCAGGATGCACCGTGTCCATCTCTAGGAGCCTCTACCGTCGTAATAGTTCAGCACTGCCAGAAAGCCCACGTTCAGAGTTTCCTCTGAGACTCAAGGCAAACTCTTGCTGAGAAACCCTATAAAAATTGAAAGAGCAAGTTACATTACTCCAAGATACAATGGCACAAGATACACATTCCAAAAAGGAGGAAGAGGAGCATAGACAGGAGGGACTGGAGCCAAGCAAGACTGAATCCCAGCTGGGCAACCATTGAATGCTCTAGTCCTGCACTCAGTATCTGGGGAGCATGTCGGCATGAGGTCAGCTCCGCTGGGCTTGGGCAGCCCACCCAGTGGCCTTGCTGGCAGCAGCAGCCTACATGGCCTCTCTGTTGGGCTGACTCTGCTCATTGCCTGCATCTTCCCATGGCAGGCATTGCAGCCTCCTGACATCCCCAACTTCCCAGGGTTTGCATTGCAGCTTGGCTGCACACACAGCTCCACGCATTGCCCTCTCACAGGCTGTTTGCAGCCCTTGGACGCTGCCCTGTTTTGCCTACCCTTTCTCTTACATCTTGGTGGAAGACTCCATGACCCACCCTTGCATTCTGCGTGTGTGAAAGACCAGCGTTACGTGGATGATGCCACAGTCCACCACTGTCTGGAGCAGGGGTGAGGCCCACTTTGACAGTGGCCACTGAGGACTTTGACAGCAGAACATGGAGAAATGAATCCCAGGAAAACGATTTTTAGGTGGCCTTGTGCAAGCAGGGCACCCTGGGGCTGTCTTCTCAAGGGAAAGTCTTTGAAAGAGATTACTTTTACAACATGCCACGGCCTTGCCACTTTCTGAGATGACCTCAAACTATCTTTCCTGGTCTCTCAGTGCAGATTACTTGGCCTCTTTTTAAAGCCTCTGATCTTTTTAGAAACCATGCCCTCCTTGCAGTGGTTTTAAATAAGTTCCTTTTCTTGACAAACTGCAAGTTTTTCAAATTTCTATGATATGCTTTCTGTTCCTAATTCTCACTGTAAATTTGGCTAAAACAACCAAATTGGTGCAACTACTATGGAAAGAAGTATGGAGATTCCTCAGAAAACTTGGAATGGAACCACCATTTGACCCAGCACTCCTCAGTCTATACCCAAAGGACTTAAAATCAGCATATTAGAGTAATGCAGCCACATCAATGTTTATAGCAGCTCAATTCACAATAGCTCAACTGTGGAACCAACCCAGGTGTCTTTCAATAGATGAATGGATAAAGAAAATGTGGTATATATAGTCAATGAAATATAGTATAGCAATATACACTGTATTCTCAAAGGAATAGTGTAGCAACGAGATACAGTGTAGCAATAAACCTCTGGGGGAATGCTTGACTCAGTAAAAGCAGTAAATGATATTTGGAGAACACTTCCAGAGTTGACCACTAAAGGACCAGTCAACCCTGAGAACACCACAATCTGGCAAAGAACTTTAAAAAGGAAATAAATTCTTTTTAAAAGTCTTGCTAACATGTAAATACTTAAAATGACATTCAAGTGAGATTTCATACACGCAAGTCCACAATACTGGACAAGTCCAGAATGGAATGATGGCATTTGCTGGTAAATGGACAAAGTTGGACAATATCATGCTAAATGAAATGAGCCAATCCTCCAAAACCAAAGGCCAAATGTTTTCTCTGATATTCGGATGCCAATTCACAATAAGAGATGGAGGGGCACTAGGGAAGAATAGAGTTACCTTAGATTAGATAGAAGTGAAGGGAGGGGAGGGGAGAGGATGTGGGGATATGAAAGATAGAGGATGAAACAGACATTATTATCTTCTGTATATACATGACTGCATGACCAATATGATTCTGCAATACGCACGCTCAGAAAAATGATAAATCATACCCCATCTATGTATGATATATCAAAGTGCATAAATGCATTCTACTGTCATGTATAGCTAATTAAAACAAATTTAAAAATAAAATAAAAAAGAATCCAGCAATGCCCATGCCACTGCCTGAATGCTGTGCTGCCTTGAAATTTCCTCTGCCAGATTAGTTAGTCCATCACCTTTAAACGCAGCCTCCCACAAAGACTCAGGGAATGGACAAATGTGGATAAGTCTTCTTGTCAGAACATAGCACAAATGGCCTCTAGTCCTGTTCCCAATAGAGCCCTTGTTCCATCTGAAACCTCAAGAACACAGCATTTATCCTCTGCATTCCTATCAGTCTTCTGAGCCCATCGGAAGGGCTCACAGCATTCCAGACTTTCTCTAGCTCCCCTCTTCAAACGTTTCCAAACTGGTTTCATCCCACAAACCAGTTCCAAAGGCTCTGAACCACACATTTAGGTATAGTCACAGCCGTGACCCCACTTCTCGGTACCAATTTCCTGTGCTAGCTAAGTTTTCGTTGCTATAACAAGATACTCTGAGGTGAACAATTTAAAAGGAGAGATTTATTTTGATGTATAGTTGCAGAGGTATGGTCCATGGTGAGTTGGCTCCTTTGCTTTGGAAGGAGCATCATCATGGGGAAAGTGTGGTAGGGCAAAGCTGGCCACCTGGTGGTGACCAGGAAGCAGAGACAAGGGCAGCTCCTTCCCCAGTGACCTAACTTCCTTTCCCTGGGCCCACCGGCTAAATGCTCTACTACCTCCTGATGTGCCACAGACTGGGACCAGGCTGTTAGCACATGAACCTTTGAGGACATCTAGGTCCAGACCAAAAAGCTGTACAGGTGCACTTAGAACCTTCTCAAAATCAAAAGCTATGACTTGTTTAATAACCGGTACTCTCTCCAGGGAAACGTCAGGTGTGAAAAGTGATCTTGTCTACTTGAGTAACTTGTTTTTCTCATCTACTAAGGAGTGCTGCTACCTTTCGCTGAGTTCAGTTTTGCCATCTTACTTGATGAATTTGTCAAGTATCTGAGGCAATGCGGGTAAAAACAGTGTAGCAATAAACCTCTAGGGGACGCTTGACTCAGTAAAGCCGTGAATGATATTTGGTGAACATTCCAGAGGTGAATGTCAGGCCCCTTGTGATGCTGCTGCGGGTGGTTTGTGATGGAGCAGTCATGAATGAAGGCTCCCTCTGCCCACTGTGACCCTGACACACAGTGCCCACACCCCAACTAGCCTTACGACGAATCTGGGGCTACTTTGTAAGTCGAAGTTTTGAGGTATGGGTCTCTGAAAATAGGGTTTGTTGAGCTATATCGATGGTAACCAAAGGGGCTGGACCAGTGGGACACATTCCTAAGCCTCTGCAACAGGGTCAGACAGCAATTGCAAAACGCCCACCAGACCTCAGGGACCAGTGTAATTTATAACAACATTTTGGGGAGAAGTAACATAAATCATTTACACAGACTCTACTGTGACTATTCCGACAGGAGGGCAGGACCCCGGGAAGCAGGCAGTCATGGATAGGAGGTTCGTCCACAGAGAGGAGTTGTTGCTGCTTCCTGGTTGGTGGGTTCCCAGAGCAGAATGCAACGTGGCCTTGGAGGTCGACCTTCAGCAAATAGAAAGGGTTGTGGAGCACTTGACTGAGCTTGAAGTTCTGATTTAAAAGGGTCTTCTCCTCTCTCCCCTCCTTCCATTCGCCAAAACTCAATTTAGGACAACTCAGAATTCTTATCAAGTTACTTTCCCTATTTATATAGGTGAAGAAAAGCAACATAAGAAGAGGGTTGAGAATGAGGTGCAGTGTGTTGTGGATACAGCTGAGGAAGGGCATGTGAGAAAGCACCTCAGACTCTGTACTGACCGGAGACTAGTAATTACAAAATAACTTTTATTTTAACTTACATGATTGGGTGATGAATACAAATGCCACCAAACTAAAAGCACCCCCTAACCAAAAATAAAATGCAGAAGTGGATACAAAAGATGTGGAACTGATTACTCATGCAATATCCAAAAAAATAAAAATGTAAAAACCCAAAACAAAGAAACCCTGTAACATGTGAGACTTGACTTCCTATAGAAAGAACCATTTCAACCATTTAACGTGGACTATGGACTATGCATACTAACTACAGACTGTACAATGAGCCTTTAAAATGGAGGACATATGCATACATAATATTTATAAATATACAAATATGTACATTATAACTTCACAGTTAAAAGAACGATTTTGCCCGAAGCCTGGCAAACAAGTTTCACTTTAAAAGGAAATAAATTCTTTTTAAAAGTCTTGCTAACATGTAAATACTTAAAATGACATCCAAGTGAGATTTCATACAAGCATGTCCAGAATACTGCTGACATCCACAGTTTAAATCGCACTCACAATATTGTTCTGATACCTTGGCTACCCCTCCTTGTCCCCCTTCACAGGGAGGAAAGTCATTCAGGAACAGGCCCTGACTGAAAGGCCCTGACTCCCTGGGGGGGCCTGCTGCCCTGCTCCTGAAGCCTGATGCTACTGCAGCTGCTTGGCGGGGGTCCTACCTAGTGGTGAGGACTTTTCTAGGGGCACTGGCGATCCTTCAGGGAGTTCTTCTTCCTAATTTCACATGATTTTTACAGAAGCAGGAATGACTTTTAGTGTCCCTATGGTCCTAACCCATTGAGGATTCCACATTCTTCCACCTTGAAAGAGCATCACAGCTTTTCGAATCCATGACTTTTGGTTTTGATTTGTCTCAGCAGCAAAATACCTATATGGTAAGAGTATTATTTTTAAAAAATGGCTCTTGTTAGGAAAAAAAATCTGTTGGGCATGGTGGTGTATGCCTGTAGTCCCAGCAATTTAGGAGGCTGAGGCAGGAGGATCACAAGTTTGAGGCCAGCCTGGGCAACTCAATGAGACCCTGTCTCAATATAAAAAAAATTAAGCGTGCTTACCTGGCATGCGTGCTGCCCGGGTTCGATCCTCAGCACCACATACAAAAAACAAAGATGTTATGTCCGCCGAAAACTAAAAAATAAATATTAAAATTAAAAAAAAATTAAATGGCTGGGGATGTAGCTCTGGGATGAACCCCAAATGGCCCTGGGTTCAGTCCCACTAAAAAAAAAAATCCAAAAAACAAAAAACAAATAAAAAAGGCTTAATGAGTTTTTGGGTTTTGAGCATATGGGTATAATCTTACTAAGGTAGTTCTTAGTGATTTAGTTATCTTTTAATTATAATGAGAACACGATTTGGGAATTTTTAGGATGGACAAAAGAAACACAGAGCTTAAAAAAGTAAAATATAAAAATTAGACTCTTACAATGGGTCATTTTGCCACATTCTTCAGGCAAGCATTGTTTGAAGAAATTCTTTTTTTGTGTGCTTGTATTTAAAGTAAAATTAGGTAGCTAAAGGACCACTCAACCCTGAGAACACCACAGAGAAAAACTGCAAAGCAGATGGTATTTATAGAAATAGCGCATGACAATTTCAAGCTTATTGAAATTCCAAAAAGGTACAAAGATGGCTGTTTTAAAATCCCCACTTATTAAGACAAGACGGACTCTTCCTGATATTGCCAGTCACGGTCGACGACGCGATCAGAGTTCTGCACAGCCCTGTTTTTGTGGCCAAGGGAAAGCAGAGGGGCTGTGAAACCAGACTGAGACTCCCCTCACATTGTAGGAGGTCTTCAAGTCCTGGACACCGGGTGGAAGGGGCCAGAAGTCGGGACCGTGGCCAGGTAGCGTTACCCGTGGCTAAAAGGCCGTGGCCACCTCAGCTCCATGACGACCTCCAACTTTCACACCGTCTCGCGGAAATTTGTCCAGCTGTTCGTAGGCCAGCCGCCCGTCTTCTCCTGGGTGGGACGGTGAACATGAACACCACTGAGACTTAACTCATCATTCAAAGAAAATCAATATCACCGTTTAGGGATGGATTGTTAGGGGTTTTGCCTTGCTCGCCCCCCCCCCCCCCCAATGCTGAGGATCAAACTCAGGTTTTTGGAAACCCCCATGCAAAACACATGTTGGACCAAAGGAAGCAACTCTTTGGGGTGGACCCTGGCCCGTGTGCGTTAGGCTTCCCTGGGGGTGAACAGCCAGTGTTGAGACCTGACCTGGGGTGGCCAGGGCCCAGGGCTGGTGTGGGCGGCACATGAAGAGTGGAAGGAACCAGGAGAGATGGTCATTCTTGGAGATGCTGCTGTGTGTGTGCAGCTCAGGTGACAGGCCTCAGGGACCCTCGCTTAGCTCACAGTGGAGAGAGAGCAGCATGGCTGGCCAGTTTACACTTCCACCTTTTACTTTTTACCTTCACGGTTATTTCAGAACAGAAGGGATAAACTAATAACTCCCTAGGTACATTTTAGAGCGTTAAATACTTTCTCTACCTAAAACAGCCATTAGGAATAGCTATTTTATTCTTGTTTTTTGTTTGGTACCAGAGCACTTGACCACTAAGCCACATCCACATCCCTATTTTTGTATTTTATTTAGAGACAGGATCTCACTGGATTGCTTAGTGCCTCGTTTTTGCTGAGGCTGGCTTTGAACTTGCCATCCTCCTGCCTCAGCCTCCTGAGCCGCTAGGACTATAGGTGTGCACCTCCGCACCCAGCAACTATTTTATTCTTTAAACAAACATGCTGGCTAAGCTTTCTGAGCAATAAATGATATATCCAATACCGAAATGGAGTTTTTTTTTTTTTAACCCTGTAACTGTAAGAAAGAGGCCTAACAGTGAATGGGTTTTCACGGTGGTTATGAATGACACGAGATTCTCCTTCCCATGATTAACATGCTATAGTCAAACTAGGGCAACTTTTTTCTTTTTTTTCCAGTTGGTTTTAGGGACTGGATTATGTTTGGAGAATTTCAGAGTATAGCTTTTAGATTTTTAGAGTGTTTTTATGGTAAAATTGTTTATAACTGTTTTAAAAATATTTTTTAGTTGTCAATGGGCCTTTATTTTATTAATTTATATTCAGTACTGAGAATCAAGCCCAGTGCCTCACATGTGTTAGGCAAGCCTTCTGCCACTGAGCCATCACCCCAGCCCCTGATTCATACATTTTTATGCAGCATTAAGAAAGGCTTTCTCCCCCTCTCAGGGCCACCCAAAAGAATAAAACTAGGAAACATGGTCAACAGGAACCTCGTGGAGTAAAGGGAAGGGAACAGGGCTCTCTGGGTGATCCAGAATAAAGACATCAGCTCTTTTCTTTGGTGTCAGGGCCAGAGGGCAACTGAGGTGGACCTGGGGCCAGCACCAGGCCGCGGTATGTAGGAGGCACCTCTGGTATCTTGGTCAATCATTGCCTTTTGGTGGTTGCCCACCCTGACCCTGCACTGCAACCCAACCTGGATTTCTATAGCCTCTGCTTTATGGTCTGGCATTTGTGTTCTTCATCCCAAACAGGACGCGGACTGACAGACCAAGACAGCCTGGCTCCTGAGAATGATCTTCACTCTGCATCCCGAGAAAGCGAGGGGTTGCCTGGGTGTGGGGGTGCATACTGATTTTCCCATACTCCATGGGTCTCAGTAGACAGCAGGTGGGGGAAATTGCTAAAATAGGGCGAATGAAAATCTTCTTTTTAGCTTCCTTTGAGAAAATCAGAAGCCAGCAATTATGTAAAACAAAACAAAGACAAACAATAACTCACCAAGAGACAAGAGGGTTTCTGAGGCCACATTTCTGATTTCTTCCGTGTCAGACTGACACAAGGTCACCAGCATTTTAATGCTTTCAGTTGCCTATGGGGGAAATAGTTTAGTGTTCTGGCATTTAATCGGGGGCTCCACGACACATCATTTTATCACTAGCGGGAAACTTAAAAAACTTCCTTTGGGGGTCCCCAAACTTAGTGGATTGCCATTTAGTGATCATTTAGTGAGCTCTCTCAGCTGCTGTGTGCGAAGCTCAAGTGACAGGGCCAGACTCCTCAGGGACCCTCAGGGACAGACTGTCACATGAGTACAATTCCTAGGTGCTACTCCAGACCACTACACTGGAATTCCCTAGAAGGGAGCCTAGGACGTGTACTTGTGGAAAATCTGGTGACCAGCTGAACTTCTTACTGCCCAGAGCACTCCAGGTCTAGAGTGGAACACGAGTCTCCTGCTTTTCCAGAATAGAACCCGTTTCTCCTAGTTCTTTCTGCTGTATTCCATTGATTCCAAATGACACTAAGAATTCCTGTGCATATATAATTGAAACAGCCCATTGTGCCCAATAAACATGCACAATTATTTTTTGTCAATTAAAAAAAAACTTAAAAATTATTTCTTATTCAGTTTATGCACTGAAATAAAGAAGGAAAATTAAAGTCCATGATGGGGGCTGGGATGTGGCTCAAGCGGTAGCGCGCTCGCCTGGCATGCGTGCGGCCCGGGTTCGATCCTCAGCACCACATACAAACAAAGATGTTGTGTCCGCCAAATACTAAAAAATAAATATTAAAAAATTCTCTCTCTCTCTACCTCTATCTCTCTCACTCTCTCTTAAAAAAAAAAAAAAAAAATAAAGTCCATGATGGGATGTCTTCTATTTTTTTTTTGGTACCAGGGATTGAACTCAGGGGTACTTGACCACTTGCCCACATCCCCAGCCCTATTTTGTATTCATTTAGAGATAGGGTCTCACTGAGTTGCTTAGCTTCTTGCAGGTGCTGAGGCTGGCTTTGAACTCATGATCTTCCTGTCTCAGTGTCCCAAGCCACTGGGATTATAGGCGTGTGCCACCGTACCCAGCTTCTACTTATTCTGTAAGCAGTTACTGAATACTCTTGATTTTTAGATTGTCAGAGTGTTTTTATGGTAAAAATTGTTTATAACTATTTTAAAAATATTTTTTAGTTGTCAATGGGCCTTTATTTATTAATTTATATTCAGTTCTGAGAATCGAACCCAGGGCCTCACATGTCACAAAGACAGGTCACAAAGCATGGGAGATTCTACAATGAACTAGACATGGAACTGGTCCAAAGAGTCCGCAGTTGAGTGGACAGACAGACTGTCACATGAGTACTTGTGAGCGACAGGCTGAGTGAGGGTGCTGGGGCAGAGCACTTCAGGCTGAGGAGGGCCAACCTCTTGGGGGAGGTGGCCTCTGAGACTAGGTAGCCAAGTGTGGGGGTGGGTGGGTGTGTGTGCCTGGGGCTGGGGAGTGGCTGGGCTGTGGAGAAGGAATTGACTCCAGGCAAGGCTAATAGACTGTGGCAGGCCCAAGTCCAGAGGTGGCCATGGAGGTGTTCAGAGAAGGCCTGTATCTTTTCAAGGAGAATCCTCTGAGCCACGTTAGGGGCTTCCGGTTGAATCGTAAATTCATGGCTTAATCTGGGTCTAAGTCTGAGAGCTAAGATTGCAGAAGCCCCTGCAGAGCTTTGAGCAGATCTGTGTTTTGTTGCAATGTTTCTAATGTCAGGGCAAGGGGGCCTTGACGCAAGCTCAGGCCGTAGCAGGCAGGGTGGCTCCCCTGTAGGTGACTAGTGCAGATGGGTGACTGCAGCAGGGATAGAGCAGAGTGCACAGGGCGGAGCTGGGGTCCACAGGACGGCAGATGAATGGATGGGAGAGGAGGCCTGGTAGAGGGCCCACCAAGGCACTGAGACCATCGGTGGTGGGGTGGGTGCAGTTTGAGTGACTTCCTGCTAGAGCTATCTAACAGCAAGCTGGGTAAGAGTCAGAGGGACCTGGAGGTCATCAGTGCAGAGATGGCGATGGAAGCCCTGGGGTGACCTCCTGGAAGACAACACGCCGGCTGAGTCGCTGGAGGACTGGGCATGGACTGCAAGTCATGTTTGCCTTTCCTGGAGGAGGCTGGGCTTATGAAGTAGTGGAGCTGGTGCAGGGCGCCAGGCTGGGGCAAGCCAGAGGGAGCAGCCGGGGGCCCCCGGGTTCCTGTAGCCCATGGTGACAGATGGGACACCTGAATGGGGGCCACTTTTTTGAGGACCGTGATCCCCGTAGGTTGTTTGCAGGCTGATTAAAGAACAGAAAAATGAGAAATTTCTGTTTGTTTCCATTAATTTATAAAAACAAGACTCCCAGCAAGCTGGCCAGGGATCCCAGGTCTGTGTGATGACAGATCTGCACTGTCTTGCACAGCGTGCTGCACGGAGCCCCCTCAGGAGCTGGGGGGCTGCAGAAAGGCATTTCATCTGGCAGAAAAGATCCTATCTTCTAGGAGAAAAGGGAAAAGGAGAAATCTGGTGCTCCCCGGCGTGGGTTCTGCTGGAGCTAGAACAGTGGCCTCTGCTGTGACCTTGGAAACGTGTACGTCCATGACCCCGGCTGGACCTCGGGGTCCTGGTCTTTACCAGTGTGAAGTCTGAATCACAGACATCCAGCTCTGTGTGTCGCAGTGTGGCAGGAGGCTGCCCAAATAAACTGCAGTCCCGGCGGGCTTTGTTTTGGCCACCTGAAAGTCATTTTTTGACCAAGTAACAAGGAAGGCAAACTTTCCCACAGTTGTTTTTCTTCACAGGTCATTAACTTTTCTTTTGAGGAGTTAATCCCTTTCTTCACGTCCCATCAGGCCTGCCGGTCCCTGCCCCCTGCCCCGGTGCCCATCCAAGATTTTAGTAGAGTCTAAGGTGTGGCCTTCTCGTTCTTTTCTCAAGCCCCATTAGTCTTATTTTTGTGATAAAGGTGGGTCAAACATTGAATCCAGCCCACTGAAAGGTAAACTCTCTCATGCTGGGGATTCTGGCCCTTTCATTGTTCATTAACAGTTTAGCTCTCTCCCTCTCCACTAACTTCCTTCCCCTGACACAATTAAGATTGATTAACTGCTTAATAAAAAGAGTTCTATGGGAAAGGATCTGGGTGGGAATTCAGTGGCACATTGACTTTTGAGACTTCTTTGCAAATATCATTATTCCTTGCTATTTGTACTGCACATTAAATATCGGTGAAATCACCATATCATCTCTCTGTGGGATAAAATACTTTCCTAATATTGACCCAAAGGCAAACTGATTCTTACAGGTCACAGCAGAACATGATTATTTTCTGCTACTTGTTCCCTTTAACAAAGTCACATACGAGGGGGAAATAACAACCCGAAACTACCAAGCAGCTGCAAGGAGGTGAGAGCCCCAGCTGCGGGTGTGGGGGGCGTGGGGGAGTGCTGGGGGTGCGGGGGGCTGCTGGCCTTACCTCCAGGCTCCGCAGGGCCAGGCAGGCTGCCTTCTGCAGCTGCAGGTTGGTCTTGGTCAGTGCTTCACAGTAATAGAGCAAGGCCTGGGGGAGAAGAGGGACACTGTGAGGCATTCCACTGGAATTCGTGTTGATTAAAAGATCTCTTTAGTCAATAAATTGATCCTCTATATTCTACCAGGTCATGGACTTAGGAACATGAAGTTGAATGATACAAAGTTAGGTGTTTTTTGTTTTTTTTTTTTAAAGAGCGATTCTTTCTCTTTATTCACCAGTTTTCAAAAAAAAAATGAGCTGGTTCATTAGCAAACTCCACCAGTGACTCTATTTTAAAAAATATATTATTATATTTAAATTTTTAATTGACACATATTCGTATGGATTTATGGCATAGAGTCCATTAACTCGATATGTGTGTACAACGTGTAATGGTCCAATCAGATTAACTTACATTTCCATCTCCTTGAACATTTGTCATCTCTGTGTACTGGGAAATTGAGGACTCGATTGTCATAGACCATAGTCACCCACTGTGCCACAGAACACCAGGACTAATTCTTTCCTGTTTTCTAACCTCTCTGATTCTGGCAGTTAAGGGGCCTCAGATCTAGAAACCCCAAGGGTTTGAAGGAACTGTGGGGAAGAGAAGAGTCAGGTTCCAGCAGGGAGCAGAAGAGGCCAAGCCAGTCAGATGGGGAAGGGGGAAGGGACGTCCTGTAGGCGCTAGGGTAGGTTTCACAAAGAAGATGTGTGAACTGGACCAGAAGGGTTGGTTAGATTTCTGGTGGGAGGACCAAAGAAGGCGGTAAACTCCAGTGACAGGTGGCCCCTCAGTTGGATACGGGGCATCTGGGGGTTGCACGTTAGATTCTTTAAAGGGCTGGGGGTGTGGCTCATGGTAGTTTTCCTGGCACATGTGAGGCCCTGGGTTCCAGCCCCAGCACTGCCCACCACCCAAAAAATCTTCATGCAAAAATAAATTTTCTTAAATTTACTAAGCTAATTTCTTCCTAAGTGGTTTATTAACATGTAGTACTTAACATTAATTCAAGTGGCAAGAAGCACTCTAAGTCAGTGGCCGTGATCTGGCCTCCTACCTTTTCCCTGAAATGCTCGTTCTTGGAGGCTGCTGCCAAGTAGAGCGTCACAGCCTTGCTGACGTCACTGTCGTCCCTGGTTAAGAGCAGAGCCAGAGTCCGGAGCACCTCTTGCTGGGCCAGGAGGCTGCTGGGAGCAAGGTTGCCCACGGCCTGCAGCAGCTTCTCATCTCTCAGGGACTGCAGGGTGTGCACCACGGAGACTGGAAGGCAGGAAAGAAGGTGGGCTGTGGCAGTGCAGTGACCTGTTAGCTAGAAATGCACAGGTCTCCTGTGCGTCTTTAGTGGAAGTAGAACTCAACAGACTGAGCACATGTGGTCACTCTGCAAAGGAGGCGTTTCCAATTACTGAGAAAAGCACCGATGGATCAAGTAACTGTAGTGAAGTGGGGGGCCAGTCGTAGGGGAGAAAAGTGACCTTGGAGCTCTTCCTTATAATGGAAGCAAAAATAATGTGTAGATGAATTAAATAGTCAAATGTAAAAATCGACAGTGAAGGAAATGCAAGGAAACCTCGTGTGCAGTCTTTCTGGAATAGGATAGCGAACCCAGCTGCCCTGTCTTTCACTCAGACCACCTGGCAAACCCTGTCCTAGGTGAACCCCAGTCCTCGCTGAGGAAGCAGGACGGTGGAGAAACTCACTTTGTTGATTGGAATATGGGGATAATACCATAAAAAAGGGGTTCTAAGTCCCATGTGGACCGACTGACCAGGCTCCGAGAGAGCACACCCTGATCCCTAAGTTGGTGCCCGCAGGAGCCTCCACTGCAGTGGCACACGAGAGCCGCCTCACCTTGCCTGGCCAGCTGGCACAGGTGGCTCTCCAGGTCGCTCACGCAGTGGCTGGTGAAGTAACTGCAGTACTGGAAAACCGTGACGACTTCCGAGGAGAGGCTGGCGGACAGCAGAGGCTCCGTCCGGTCCAGGATTTGAGAGACCAGGGTTCGAAACACTATTTGAAAGGGAGAGACACAGAGCAGTGGGGGCAGCTTGATGTCTTTCATTCATTCTCTGATGGTAACGTGTCAATGAGCGAAGTGAAGCATCCCTGATACACCGCGCACCGTCTCGGCACACGGCCAGGTGACCTGCATTCTCACACACCTCCGTGACCGCCAGGCACGGGAGACCTGGGCGGCTCAGCACTCAGTGCCTCTTCCCAGTCCACAGCTTCCACAGCTACCCACCCCTCCCACCACGGGAACTAGTCACCTGCCTCCTGTCTACACAAGTGCTTGAACTTCCTGTAACTGGTGTTACGTGGCGTGTACTTGGAGTAACTGGTTTCTTCCACTCAACAAAGCATCTGTGAGGTTCACTCAAGTCGTTGCTTGTAGCAGCAATATATTCTTTAAAAAGCACTAGGTAATGCCCTGTGATATGGTTATATTATGATTCATCCAATCTCCTGTCATGGGCACTTGGGTTGTTCCCAACTTTCAGCTCCTGTGAATAGAGCGGCTATGAACTTTCCTCCCCAGGGCCTTCCTCCTGAACATAAGCCCTCGTTTCTCTTGGAATGTTCAAGAGTACAGCTTCTAGATGGTGGCAGAGGAGCATATCAAGTTTTAGCAGAAACTGCTAGTGTTTCCCCAAAGTGGTTGTACCATGTGACACCTTAGTGAAAAAAGTGTCCATGGGTTCTACATCTTCAGATGTGCATCAAAAATATCCAGAAAAAAGTTGTAGTGGACATATACAGACATTTTAATCTCGCCATCGGTCCCTAAGCGATACAGCACATGGCAACTCTTCACACGGCAGCCTCGTTGTCTTAGGTGCTATAGGGAACCCAGAGTACACGAGGGTGTTCGTGGGTGATAGACAGACACCACGACAGTGGTACCAGAGCAGTCAGTGGGCACCTGCGATTGGGCTGGCAGGGTGTCCTGGGACAGTTCCCACAGACACCCTACTGTTAAAACCTGTTCACCATCTTTCTTCCTTAACCCTGCGTGAGTGGATGAGTTTGCCCTGTGGCCGGTGTGCACCCTTCTTCAGGCCCAGGCTGCAGGGCAGCTGCAGGGGTCCTTCTATGCCCACTCTCACACCGAGGGGCAGACCACCTCCCGCTGCCTTACCACCTCCCGCTGTCCTACCTGGGTCTGCGAGTCCTGGGTACTCCTTGTTGACAGTCCTGGCAAAGCTGGCCTCCAGCTGCTTGATCACCCTGTCGGCAGAGCTGTGGTACACCCCGGCCGGGCCGCAGCACTTGGTCCAGAAGGACAGCAGAGACAGCTTTTTGTGAAACTCTGGGAGGGCTGGAAGAGAAGAGCGGCCCCATCCCAGGACACACGTTAAATGAAGACAACGAAGACGGGCCCCTGGGTGGGGCGGGCGAGGCGCTGTCAGGGCTCTCTTTTGTTGAGGGGTTTGCCGTTGGGACAGGAGTCCTCTGCAGCTGGCAGGTGGACAAGGACAGGAGGAGGAAGCTTCCTGCCCGGGAGCGAGGACAACAGAAAAACACGGCTGTTGGCCTCAGTGACAGAAGGCACAGTGGCTCTCCCCTGGGGTCACCCAGGCATCTCATGTCCCCTAGCTTACAGGATCAGGACCCTCACTCCCCCGGGTTTCCTGAAAGGCATGGGATGCGGCCATGGTGGCCAGGGGAGTTCACCCTGCCTGGTGGCCTCAGACAGGAGAGTGGACAGCAGAGTGCAGCTGAGTGTGTCACCGCTGTACTGCTGAGTGGCTGAGACAGTGGGATGGAGAGGAGGGGACAGTTGCTTGCAGCCTGAATATCTGTCACTGCTCATGCCTCTCAGGGCCCGCCGAGCGCCCTGCTCCCAGGAGCTACACTTGAGGCAGACACAACAGGAGAACCCTGCGGAGGCTCAGGCCTGACGGAGGTTCCAGAAGACCCTGTTGCGGCCTTCTGATGTGAAAGTAGAAACTCTTCCCAGGGCCAGACCACAGGAGCGCGAGGCGCCTCCGCACTCAAGTTGAGCTGCCTGTCCTGCAGGCCTCGGCCCACCTCTGTCCACCTCTGCCCCTGGACAGCGCTATGGGGGACGTGGCCAGCTGCATGGCCAGAGTCCTAGTCATCTGTCTGAAGGGACCCTCCTGGATGTGCCTGGGGTGATGCTGCTTCTGTTCACACTCGGGCCCACTCCTGAGGGAGGCCCTGCAGAAGACGCCAGTGTGTGGGGGCTGACGGGAGCCCGCAGCCCAGACGCCTCCCGGTTGTGAGGCACAGACGGCTTCCCTGTCTTCCTGACACGGCCGGGAGCAGTGGGCAGTGGGTGGGCAGGGGTGCCCAGGCCCCTGCCAGCAGTGGGGAGAGGCAGGGCACAGTGCAGTTCCCCTGGGGACAGAGGCTCACCTTGCACGACAGAGCTCAGGCTCCCCGCCTCCTCGTCACTGACGGCCGCGAGTCTCTCCATCACTTGGGTCTGTCTCGAAAGCTTCTCTAAGAGGTTTCTTGCCACAAAGGGGGTTTTGCTGGAGAAGACAACTTGCTGATAAAACAAACAAAACGGCTGTTTCAGTTAAGTAACGTAGAGAGCTCCTGCTCCCAGCGCCTCCTTCCCGAATGTGCTGTGGATGCTGGAGGCACTCACGCAGGGCTGTTGGTCCATCCTGGTGATGTCCCCTCTCCCTGACAGGCACAACAGCTGTCCAAGTCACACCTGAGTGTGCTACTTTAAACTTTCTTGGGGGTACTTAGGATTTAGCCCGGGGGCAATTTATGACTGAGCCCCAGCCCCAGCCCTTTTATTTTTTATTTTGAGACAGGGTCTTGCTAAGTTGCTGGGGCAGGATTTGGACTTGAGACCTGAGTCTCTGGGATGACAGGTGTGCCCCAGATGCCTGGCTCACTTTATCCGCAGTAGAGCTACCAGCTACTGTGCAGCTGCTTTCCCTTCCCTGCCTCATAAATCTCCTCCTCTTAGAAAGTCAGCTCACTTAGGTGGTGTCTTGGTGTGTGAGCAGAAAAAGATCTGTTTGGAAAAACGCAGTCGATTTTCATAGTGTGCTTTTGTTTTTTTGTTTTCAAGATTATCTAATAACTGTAATTGCAATCTGAGCTCTCTCACCACGCTTAGTGAGTGCTCCCTGTGAGCCTGGCACCAGCCTCCGCCCTGTGTGTGCACCCAATGTGGCAGTCCTATTGATGTCCCCATTTTACTTAAGTAATCTGCCCAGTGTCCTACAAGTGGTGTTTTTATTCATGTGCCCTCACAAGCACAAGGAGGCATAAGAAAGGAGACACAAGTCACTTGGTGTTGACATCCCTTGCCCTTCTGTGCCTCTCAGGACCTCCCTGGCCACCTGCTAGGCACAGAGGAAGGCAGGACACAGGGACGTGCTCCCAGGCTGAGCCCTCTAGAGCAGTCCCACTCTGGACAAATAGCACTTCAAACCAAAGTCTAGCAAGCATGTGCTAAAGTCTTTCTTGTTAAGTGAGTAAAATAGAAGCATATTTATTTAAAAAAACATTTATTGTGAGTATGTTTCTTTGGGAAGGCCCATTTTTATCTCTCTATGATCATATACCAAACAAGTGAACCCACCAATTCAGGAGTGAGTGCAAGTGAGTCAGGTTTGCATTCGCCCCTCCTTCAGTCTGCGTATTTATGCCCCCTCTTTGTTTTTCTAGCATGGCTCTTTCCCACAGAAGACTTGGGTTGATCAGTCTTTGGGAGAAAACCTCCCCTGTCATGGAAGAGAATTCTTATGTCTCTGAAAGTAACTATTTTACCTCTAAGAGGTAAACAGGTGGTTTGCTCTGCATGGTGTCAGCATCAGCAAGGACAAAGAGATATGAAAACCATCCCATTCAAAGGGTTGGTAAATAGTGAATAGCCATAAGTAAATGAAAACGCTTGTCCGTTTTGATCACAGAAGAATATCACACTTTGTGCCAGGACGGTTTTTGGTACTGTGGTTTGTAACCTCGACACCTAACAGCAGAGGTCAAATAGGATGCTGGCTGAGCTATAAGTGCCAGCCAGCTTCCCAGAGCACACAAGCTGCCTGTGGCCATGGAAAGTTCCTCACAGGTGTGGAAAACACGATCGTCTCCGTCTCATCCCAGCCGAGGCACTAAGGAGGCCATGCTGCCCCAGGACCCGGGCTCCCTGACTGTGCCCCTGTTCTGCTGCCAGCTCCTGCTCTCAAGACCTCAGCTCCTCTCCTGCCAGCACCCTCCTGGGTGGCCGCGCCCCCCGCCCCTGTCCTACCCTGTTCCACATACATCCAGCAAGCTGAGAGAAGAACAAGACGGGAGAGAGAAGCACCAGGCGAGGAGGAAGCGTTTAAGTAGAGGCCTTGGGGCAAAGGTTTGTTGGGGCAGCTGAAAGTCTCCTGGAAAGCATTTCAAAACCTCGGCTCCTCTGCTGCCAACCTTGAGGGGCAGAGTTTGAAATGAGAAGAAAAATCAGCTCTATGCTGCGCCAGAATGAGGCTCAGTGGTGATGAGAGGACCAGAGGCACGTGGCCGCCCACTGCTCGCAGGCGATGCCAGCTCCAGACCTGGGGTAGGGCAGGTGCAGTCTTCAGCCTGTGCTCTCGGCTCTTGCAGGGGTGGGGGTGGGGCGGGACATGCCTGTGACATTGATGTCCACACATGTTCACTAATGCTGGCTTTCCCACTCCCTCTGGATGCAAATACCTTTTCCCTTAATCAAGGTCCCCTCATCCACTGCCAAGGGATTTAGAAGAGCCAACATATCGTATTCTACCTGCTACCTTTTAAGGCCCGGGGATCTGGGTTCTGAGATGGGAGACCCGGGGTGAGGAAGGCAGGGCACGCCATCAGAGTTTTTGAGGTGGTTTATACCAGAGCAGGGCTGTTCTCTTATTCCCAAATTCTCATTTCCCTGCAAAACCAAAGCCGGAGGCCTGCTTTCCTGCCACCTCAGCAGCCTGGCTTCCCACCTGGACGAGCTGGGTGCAGTACTGCAGGTGCCGCACGATGGCGATGTCCAGGCTCTCGTTCCCGGTGGTCAGCGGGAGGGGGCTGCCTGCCACGCTGGTCCCCACGCCTGTGTCTTCGGTCAGTGCCTCACTAAGATGCCCCCTGGCTTCTGGGTGAACCGACCTGTAACTGGTGAAGCAGGGGGTGGGTGAGACGTGAGCCGTTTCCTTTGTGTACAGACCACGAGCCACGTCGGCCGGCTGGCACCAGGCCCCACGCGCCCACTGAGTCCGCCTTCCCTCGCCTCCTTTGAAAAGCAGAGGGGCCTTTCATAAGCAAGCACTCAGCCTGCTGCTGACCGGCCCAGCATCAGAGGACCAAGAAAATGCATTGCCCTAGGGTCTCCGTCTCGTCTCCAGCAGTGAGCCATGCACATGCCAGGTGTCTCCCGAGGTCTTTTGAGTCGGGCCCTCACTGTGTGTTTGCCCCACTTTCCTGCTCTGTTGACAGGGCGATTTGCCAGATTTTCTGGGATTAAGTTGTCCTCTGTATCGGTGGTTTCCCAAGAGTAATGGCATTAAGAAATAACCTGTCACGGCCTTTTCCTGGCCCCAGATCAATTGCTTCTTGAAGACAAGGCAAAAGGAGGGTGGCCAGGAGGAAAGAGGAGACGCTCTACTGGGGACAGAAGCTAGAAGGTGTCGAAGTGCTCAGAGCACAGCCGAGTCCTGCCTCCTGCTCTGTGCAAGCCCCACGTCCCCCTGCCTGAGGTCTTATCATGATGGCACTGATGTTATCCCATTTTATTCTGAAAGTGAATCTGTGTTGGGAGAATGGAACAGGGAGCCCGGAGAGTGTCCTGGTCACCAACAGGCAGCTTGTGCTTCTCGCCTCCTGCTCCTTTCTCAGTGCCCACCATGCAGAGACCCTCACCCAGGCTCAGCAGCTTGGAGGGCTCTGCTCTGAATCACATTTGCCTCCAGGGGAAGATGCTCAGCTGTGTCCAGGTGGTTGACACATGGTTCTCACACACATACACACATGTGCGCGCACACACACACACACACACACAGTTCTTTTCTAATAATTCTGATAATATACAGTAAGACTGATTGAGTTAGATACATTTAACATTAATGTTCTGTAAACTGTACAAAAGAAATAATGTTTTTGTTATTAAATGCTTCCTTTAGCAAGAAGAAAAACAGTTTAGATGGATGCCTGGCTGTGATGTGTCACATAGCTAACGAGTTACAGAAAAGTTTAGTGAGGAAGTATGACGCCAATTCAGTCAAGCTAGACAATATGCAGAAGCAGAACTTAAATATTACATTTACTCATTAAATTTGCTTTCATTTTATTCCCAGTTTGCTCAAGGAATAAATTCTGGTTCTCACGTTGTATTTTTCTTTGTTGTTGCTTTTATCTTAGAAAAAGAAACCTTCTAGGAACAACAGAACCCCAAAACAATAACACCTCCCACAGAGAGAGCTGTAAAGGCTGAACAGAGAGCTTTGAAGATGTATTTATGTCACATTGTCCCAAAGGTACAATGTACCCCTTCCTGGGGGGAGTGTTTGTGTGTCTGTCTCGGTGACTGAGGGGCAGGTATGCCCATGGTGCTTGTCTGCCTTGGTCTGAAATGTCAAGATGCCCCCAGGACCTGGCTCTGAGAACTTGGCTCAGCTGCTCCAGGACCAGGCAGAGGAGGAGACTTTCACCTTCAGGCTCCCCCACCCAGAGGCCACGTTTTCCACCCCGCTGTGGATAATGGCAGTTATTGGTTGTGACAGGACCTGGAGGAGCTTAGCCACCTGAAGACTCGCTGGGTGAAGGGGCGGGCAGAGCAAAGCCCAGCAAAGCCAAGGGCCGGGAAGGAAGAGGGCTCCAGGTGGGACCGGTCCGCAGTTCTCAAGCAGAGTACCCAGCGGGCTGGCGAGAACTGCACGGCAGGCTGCAGACCACATGCATACGCAGGACGCACACGCACACGGGACTCATCCAGCCATCCCCTCACTTCTGGGAGGGAAAGAGATCTGTCGTCCCTTAAGCAACCCGGAGGAGGTGAAGCTGTGCTTGACGGGCAAAAGGAGCCAAGTGCCGCCAGCAGGGCCGCGTGGGAGCTGTGCACCGGCCCCCCCCCCCGCGGGTGCACACGGCGCCTCGTCCCACTCACCTGCTCCTCTCGGGCTCGGTGTCTGAGAACACCGAGTCAGCACCGCCGCCACGGCGTGCCTCCTCCCCGTCCTCCTCCTCATCAAAATCAGAGGTGTTGAGGAAGTCAAAGCTTTCTAAAGCGCTTTCCACCATGAGGCTGAGGCTGGAGGATCGGCTGCGGCTCACCGAGGGCTTGCACTGCAAGGCAGAAGGCACCGGGGACATGAGCACACCTGCAGGGAGGAGCCGGCACCTGCCAGAGGCCACACTTCAGCTCTCCTTTATCAAGCTTTTATTTTTTATTGGCATTTAAAATCTCCATATTCCAAAAAGAAGTACAACCACAGGTAAAAATGGCACAATATCTGGGGTTTGTTCCAAAATGATCCAGAGAGAGACACACAGGTAGAGGAACGGATAAAACAAGACTGGCCATGAGCTGACCATTGAGGACCAGTGTGGATGTGGGAATGTGCACATCCACTTCTGTTTGGAATTGTTATAATAAACATTTTTAGAAATGTCAACCAGAAATTTTTGGGAAACAGAAAGGCTATATTCCCCTCTACCTCGTGCTCATCCCCAAATAACACACAGCCAGCCAGCCCCGTGCAGGGTCACATGCTTATAGTTCCAGCTGCTGGGGAGGCTGAGGTGGGAGGATCACATGAGCTCACTGGCTCAAGACCAGCCTGGGGCAACACAGTGAGACCCAGTCTCCAAAAAAAACAACAAATCAAAACCCAGCAGATGAAATTTAAGGGACACCAAGTCAATGCTGATTCCAATCTCTAATTTCAAGCGACCATGTCTTCAAAGTCCTGAGACCAGAGCTGACTATCTAAAGCACCTGGCTCTCCAGGTAGTCCTGGAGGCAAGTCCCAGAACACAAAGCCACTCTGATTCAGGGAGCCCACACTCTCTATGGAGAAGGCCTACAGCTGAGGTCACAGGCACAGCGTGTGGCTTCTTGAGCACCGGGGGCTGAATGAGTGATATGGGCGTGACAGGAAGCAGCCTCACTTCCCTGAGCTTTGCCTTGAAAGGAATGAGCCCCACAGCCTCCCTGGCCAGGCCCTGGGATGTGGGGCCCGAGGCTGTGTGGCAGGACATGCGCAGAAACATGACCCGAAGATGACGCCAGGGTGACAGGCGCAGAGAGGGGAGATGGACACCAAAGGCTCAAGAGGACGCTGGGGTGGACGGAAGGGGTCAAGTCCTGGCAGGGAGATGCGCTACGTGTCCTCCACGCTGCTAGCTGGCACTGCTCGATGAGTTCCCAGCACAAGGCAGGAGGGGCCTTGCAGGGCTCTGTCTCGGGCACTTAGGATGGCCCAAGAGCACAGGGGGAACTTCTGTCGCTGCTTTAAATCATAGTTGCTCCACTGGCCCTCAGGGATCTCCGTCCAAGAGGCAGCTTCGTTTAGTTTCTGATCCTCAAGATGTTTTAGCACCCTAGGAATGTGGGAGGGGGGGGGAGAGAGAGAGCTTTGTCCAGCTGATGCTTTAACTCTGGCTGGATGCAAAGCCACTTGCCCCAAACCCTCTGGACACCTTCAATCTCAAGGGGAGACTCAACCCGCGTCTGGGCTCTTCTTTCCTAAGCTTGCTATCTGTACAACCTGATCTTGTAGAGGATGGATAGGTTTAGGTATCATCTATAAAGAAGAAAGGGGTGGTTGAGGATTTCACTAGCAAGTTTTGGAACAAATGGAAAGGAATCCATGAGCTCCAGCCTTTCGTAAGACTAATGGATGCCGTGCGTACTGCTTCTGGATGGACTGAGCAGCGTCCTGGACTCCTGGAAAGGAGCTGCGACCCCCACAGGCTTGCTAAAGGCATTTGCTTAGGTGGGGTCAATTCATGTCTGAGGTCTTTTCTTTCTGTGGGCTGGGCATTGAGCCCAGGACCTCCTAAACACTAGGCAAGTGCTCTTCCACTGAGCTACAGCCAGCCCTGTGTCTTAGCTCTTTGGCTCACAAGGCAGAGCCGGTCAACTGTGCAGAAAAGATGCTCAGTGCAGGATCAGATCAGCAGCCTCCATGCCCAAGGCCTCAGATGGTGCTTTGAGCTACGAGTACTGAAAGCAGATTCCAATGCCCCTCCCTGTTTCTCAGAGCTATGTCCACAATGGAGCTAACCTGTCACCAGCATTTGAGGACCTGCAGAGTCAGAGGCTAACTAATCATCTAGGAGGGCACAAGTCCTCTCCAGGGCTGGGTCAGTGGGACTCGACAGAGTCAGGAAAGCCGTGGAAATGGAGATCCAGATGCCAGTGGCAAGGCCACATCTGAAAACTGCCACACAGAGGCTGTGGCCGCCTCTTGTGGCTGATTCTCAGTCTGCAGCCTTACTTTTAAGCCTGTTCAATACAACAGGTCCCCATGGAGTTGCTCTTTCAAGAAAAAGGATCCAAGTTCCCTTCTACATGATCATAAGAATCAGAGTCGGAAAGCAAATAATACAAGCAGTGGCAGTGTGATTCAGGGCACAAATTCAAGCTCTGTCTTCATGTGCGGCATTTTAAAAATGTTAATCCACATGCCAGGGGAAGACGGATCCATTCTGATGTTGCAGAGATGAGGATCTTGTTCTCAGACCTCCCACCCAAGAGGAATCTGTCCCATTACTCTTAGCGGATCACCATGGATGGAGAAAAATATCTCTGGTGAACTCTGGCCTTCCCTGGCTTCCAGAGTGTGATGGCTGACTAAGTGCTGATCTGGGGTCCCAAGTTGCAGATGGGAGGTTTCTTCTATCAGAGAGCACCGCTGGAGGACAGGGTGCCGTGGCTCTCATGCTGGGGCTGACCAGCTGGGACTCCCACTAGGGGAGGGCTCCTCTACTTCCTGAGAGGGACCCTGTCCAGTAACATCTGTGACGCTGTGCTGGTCACCATGCCAGCATTTCACTTTTAGGATTAGAATGATTAGCTCTGGGACTAGACCGGTTTGGACATTCTTATGAGTTTTTAAATGAGCTCCTAATCAGTTTAGTGAAGTTGATCTGTTGTCAGGGAAATGAAAATAGATCTGCCTAAGTGGCATCAATAATCACTGCCATTTACATGATGATCACCTCTTGATCCTGCGACTGGATAGGACTTAGAAGAAGGAGGAGAAGGAAGAGGCGGAGGGGGAGGGGAAGAAGAAAGATATGCTATCTTAACAGATAGTTGGTTTAGGACAGCTCTCTGCAAACCTAATCCAATGTCTCTGAAAAGGCACTTACTTTTAGAATATCATCCAGATGCATGACCTCTTGGTTCAGATCCTGAAACTCCTTGTACTCCTCCTTATGTGGTTCTAGAGCAAGAAACAGCCCACTCAGGGCATCCTCCAAGCTGCCATCCAGGAGGGACTCCCCACTGGCCGAGTCCTCAGAAAGCAGATGCTCTGTGGCTGCCGGCACCTCGGCCGAGGTGAGCCTCTTGACCAGCTGTTTCGTGACATTCCCTTCACAAGTGTCCAGCTCCACGGGCTTGAGCTCCGAGGCCTCATCCGACTCTTGCAGAAGGGCCTCGGCGACTGCATTCTCAAGGAACAGGCGCTCAGCCCCCAAAGCCGTGGCTGCGGAGGGTTTCCTGGGCTCCGCTGGGCCTTCCTGCAGGGGTGACTTGGGTTCCTGGCCTTCTCCCGAGGAGTTCCTGGAAGATGCCCAGCTGCCGTCATCCCCTCCCTGGTCCTGGGAGGGCCGGCCGGTGTGGCTAAGCTCTGCAGGGGTGATGGTGATTTCTGGATTCGCTGAGCCCGAGCTGGAGGGAGAGGCTGCAGGGCTGCAGGGGAGGGCACAGTCCCCGTTGGGCAGGTCACAGGAGCTGAGGGAGAGTGGCCTTTGCTCCTCAGCTGTCTTCCCAGTTTCAAAGATGTCATCGGGCAGATTCGCCTGAGGATAAAGACAGCCCTTATTCTCAATACACATGATGCATTAGGCAGGGTTTATTTTCAGACAAGATGTAAGGAGTCAACATGAAAGAGCTAGAACTTTCACATTGTTGTTTTATTCCTCGATGTGCGTGTGTGTGTGGGGGAGGCAAAAGAAAATAAGCCCCTGGAAACTGCCTAGTTGTATTTAGGTGAAAGGTCACGGTGCCTATTCTTAGGTCTGACATTTTCCACAAGAAGCTGTTAGGAGTGGGGTGGGATGGTTGCTTGCATTCTCAATCCCGGGATCTCACAGTGTTTGGCAGCCATACTTTGAGTAAGACTGCGAATGTTTTCTACCTTAAAGGACTTGGCATCTACCTTAAAGGACTTCCCAACATTCTTGCTACTTTGCTTCAAGGATGTGATGCTTTGCTCTACTTTGGTTCTCAGAAATGATGTTTTGAAAATCTCTACCCACAAACCCCAGACTCTTGAAAATGTTTTATTAATTTAGTAAACATGCCATAAATACTTCAAGGTCAACCATACATTTGCATAGCTTCTCTAGAAATGATTGAAAAAGACTAAGAAACAAACACCTATCTTCCATGAGGCACCCCCCAGGCAACCAGCGTGTCTAGAGGAAAGCAGATGCAGGCTGTGTCCCCGACAGGCTCTGCAGCGTGGAGTAGAAGTCTGCAGAGGGACGATTTGTTCACGCTGGTGCTGCACGCGCTAAGCCAGCTTCCCTAGGCTGCATCTGTGTAGAGTGCCCAAATGCCAAATGCCGCTCTGTGTTTTCTAGTTATCTAACTCCTTCATCATGGCTGGTTTTTCTGCATTCCAGATTGGATTCTTAAATCACCTTTGTGTCCATGAGTTCTGCACATGCAGAGACAACCGAACACTGGAAATACTTGGAAAAAAAATCTGTATTGAACACATACATTTTTTTCCTTGTCTTATTCCCTAAACAGTACAGTGTAAGATGGAAGCCTTTGCTTAACCCATTAGGGTCAGAAGTAACCCAGAGAGGGTTTACAGTGCATGGGGATGTGTGGAGTTACATGCACATGCTACACTGTGTCGTCCAAGGGGTTGGGACCTGCTGCAGACACCAGGAATGACTGTAAATGGTCATTATCAGGCCAGTGCCCGTTTTACTTATATATAAAATGACAATTCTCATAAAACATTCCAGCAAGCCAAACAGGAGCAGACCCAAGACAGGTCACATATGCTTGCAGAGGTGTCCGTGCCCCTGCTGCTGTGGACATGCCCCTGCACATGCACTCAGACCCTCAGCGGGCCCCATGTCCTGGCCCTCACAATTCTTGATGAAGGAGAGGTGTAGTTAATGCCCCCTCCCTGCCCTGGGAGTTCACGCTGAGCATTTCTAAGGCTGCCTGAATTCTGTCTCCAAGTATCGCAATCCTCACAAGCCCCAAGTAAACGTCATTCTTCTGTTCTTGACTGGGTTGATTTTACCTTGGTTGACAGAATGCAACTGAGGCGTGTGTCATGAGGTAAGTGTCCCAGCAAGGGGAGAGGCGCTGCCCAAGAGAGGACCTGCATCCAGCCTTCAACCCAGTAAAGGAGAGGATGGGAGAGGACAGGGACAGTGTATGCAAAGATACCAGATCCTGGAGGGACGTGGTGAGTTTGGAGGACAGTGGGTGCAGGGTAAGAGATGGGCCTGGAAGGTGGGCTGGGTGGGATGAGGATGGCTGTTTGGGGGACTTCAGGTGCATCCACAAGGCTGCATGAAGCCATTGAGCTTTCGTAACCTTGCTCCTGTTTAAACATGCTCTGAAACCCTCCTGATCTCCCAAACCCTCCAACCCGTGGCGTCGAGTGTGCATAGCATTGCGTGGACAGTCAGGTGGGCAGCTGAGTGAGCTCTATTGCTTCTTATGTATGACTCTGTGTACATTTCCCCATACAGTCTTGTGAATTTCCCCTGAAACTCCACAAGAGTTCACCCTCATCCTTTTCATCTGTGCTTTTTGGTTCAATGAATAAGATGCAATTATTACTATGATGACATTGCTATTAGCCTGAAGACTTCAACTTCTTCTCCCTGGACATTCAAAGATGACTTTATGTGTCTGAGAAGAGCAGAATATTCCATGTATGTACACGTATTCTCTTATGACACCATGTGTCACTCATATAAAGTAAGCAGCCTGCTGTATCCCTGTTTCTTCTACTACAGCATTGAAGAACTAACATGCTACGATAAACCAAGACCCACAACCTCTTTAGATAGACACGGTGCTAGTAAAATCAGTCTAAGTCCTTCAAAGACTTGAAGGCCAGTCTTTGAAAGGCTGATACTTTCTGAAATAAAACCTCCTTTGCTTTTAAGGATAGCTGTGTTTTTAAAAATAAAAATCTGGTTACCATGGATATCTTTGCCACAGTGGAGAAAAATCACAGCACAAAACAGGGCTTATCTAAGGAGAATTCACACAAGTTGCATGCACGGCCCGCCTGGAGAGCAACGGAGAGGTGAGAGAAGACACGCAGGAAGGCTGGGGTGGCTCAGGGCCAGAGTGCTAGCTGCAGCCGAGGTCCTGGGTCCAACCCCAGTGCCAGAAGAAAAAGAAGGGACATGCAGAAGCATCATGCAATGGGCCCTGAAGTCACGAAGTCAGGCACGTCACCCGGGCAGGCCACACTCACATAGAACTCTAGCACAGCCATGGGGCTCAGGCCGAGGGAGGGCAGGTCCCTGAGAGAGCGGCTGCGGTGCAGCTTGGCAAAGAGAGTGTCCCTGGAGGCGCTCAAGACAGACAGCCACCACGGCCTGTCTGCAGAGGGACGTAGCCGGCTCCTCTGAAGTCAGAGTAGGGCGTGGGGCGGGGGTGAGTGGAGAGAATCAGGTTACTGTGTTACCCTAGCTTGCTAGCAGGTGGGCCGAGGCCCATACCTACATCCACTTCTCTCAATGACTAATGCTAGAGAACATTTGGAACGGTCTACCCAGTATCGTCCAGCAGTAGGTAAGGACAGGGAGGGAAGGAGAGGAAAGACCAGGGACCACTGTTCACGGACCAAAGGCGACGGGGAGGTGGCTTCCTCAGCCAGCCCTTGACTAGGAAGACCTTTAAGAATTGCGTGAGTAGGCGTTCCTGAGAACCCCAACACCCGCTGCTGGGCATCTCAAGTGCTGGGCACAAGCACGACTCAGATACAACTTGTACTCCAGAGTTACATGGAACTTACAAAGAAGGAGTGGTCTTTGAAGGTGGGCGTCTCCGGGGTGCCCTGGCTGTACATGGACATCCTCCTCTGGAGCGCTGCCGTCTTGTTCCCTGCACCACCCGAGGATGGGGTCGTGTCCTCCACGTCAAAGGGACTGCAAAACAATAGGCAGCCGCCTGTTAGTCACTTGTGACCGCAGGACTGCAGGCCAAGAGAGCACTTCTTTGAGGTCAACTCAAACTAGGGCACTGGGCTGGTTTTGGCCAAACTGTTTGTCAGAAAATAAGCCAAGAAAAAAGAAAGTGGAGCAGAAAATGGAATTTAGAGCTCCCGAGGGACCACAGGTGATCACAGCTGTAAGCACCAGTTCCCTCCTGGCCTAGGTGTGTCTGTGTCCTCGTGAACCTGGAACCGAGGACTCACTAAAGCTGGCTCCAACGTAACCAGATGTTGGGGAAGTTGTGAATATTCTCGAGCTCTGTCGGGCAAGACCCTGAACAGCTCGAGCAAGGAACAGACTGCTGTTTGATTCTGAGGAAAAACTCCAAAACGGAATCCCACCACTTTCAGTCGCTAGAGCGCCCCACGAGCCGCCGAGGATGGCAGCCTGCTTGCGGGGGTGCTGCTGATCATCCTGAGGCCCTGGTCATCCAGCAGGATGGCCTGCTCTGTGACGTCAGCGGCTGCACTGGCCAGGAGGGCAGGGCTGGGCAAAGGCTGGCACTGCTTCCTAGAGAGGCAGCAGGGTCTTGGCCACGTCCACACTGACTCCGACGTGGAAGGGAGGCCCCGAATGTCACTGGGTGGGCCAGTGGCATGACATCCAGCGTGGACGGCAGGAGGAGACCCTGGAAAGCCACCTGTAAATTTTACAAGAGCTGCCTCTTGCCTGTGGAAATGCTCTATTTCAGTAAAGGACGCCTAGGGGGCATCTGCAGTCCTCCAGGGCAGCGGGAAGTGAAGTCCGTGGGTAAGAAGGCTAAGCAGGCACCCGCCTGAGGCAAAGCCTCCCTCTCTGGACAGTTTACTGAAGCTCCCAGTGGTTTGCTTGGGAGCCGTGATTCTTGGTGTCTCTGTTTGCAGGTAGAGAGGGAGGGAAGAGGCACAGTAAGAGGCTTAAAGTAGGGAGAAGGGGAGCAGGGCCACGGCCAGCTTATCCACAGGCCCTCGCCCAGCAGGTCTGCTGCAGCCCCTCGGTCTGCTCCGTCAGGCTCCCTGCCCTGCCGACGTCCACACCGGCCTCCCAGCACCTGCAGCGCACGCCGCCCCGGGACGACAGGAAAAGGGCAACTTACTACCAGGTGATCTCCAGGTTCAGCTTGATGGTTCCGAGGTCGTTGATGTCCACGGCCACCACCTGCGGTCGGGCTGCAAACAGCTCTTTGGTCTCACAGGTCACACTGCCCACCAGGAGGTGAGTCGCCAGCCCTTTGAGCTCTGTGACCTGGCAGGAAGACAGGCAGAGAGAACAGGGAACGGGCTCCCCCTTTTCCTTTTTCTGAACCAGCTGGTGGCTTCTTTCAGAAAGAAACGGTCCAAAACCCGAGGCAGGTATCTCAAAAGCCCATCCATCTCAGGGCTGCTCTGCTCACTTTCTTACAAGGGCAGCTGTCCTTGTCACAGACTTGTGGGGACAGGAGCCTGTGAGATGGCAGAAGTCTTAGGGAAAGGCTGCCCCTGACGGATCGTCCAACTTGGCACCAGGAAGACCACAAGAGGCAGGGGCAGTACTGACCTTGATGGAAATGAACCCGACGATCAGGGGCAAGAAGACGGTCTCCTCCCCATCCCAGCTCTGTTTGCCGTTGACCTCTATCTTGCCCTTCAGCTTCCACCTCTGCCGGCCGCACTTCATGAAGACCTGGGGGCAGACATGCCAAGGCCTCAGGCTCCACTGCCCTGGCTCGCTCCCCAACACCAGGACAGGGTGGGGAGGCCCGCAAGGGCGGCCCCCCATCACCCCAGCCGCCTGTCCTGACCATGACTGGGGAAGGGACATGTTAAAGGGGGCACCTCTGCTTCCCCGAGACGAGGCCTGGAGGCGTCTCAGTAAAGTCCTGGCCCTCGCCCTTGGGTCCCCCCTCATTTCTTCTATGTCAGTAGAACAGCCATGGGACTAGTTCTTCAGGGCTCTGATCCTCCAAGAGACCAGAGCCCATCCCTAAAGCCTGCCTGGCGACACCTGCCCCTGGGTGACGAAGCAAGCTGGCAAGGCTGTGACCCACACATGCTCTGGGGAGGCTGTGCAGGCTCTCCCTGGTCAGGCAGGGGGCACTGGAGGAGGTGGACAAATCATTACATGTGGTCTCTTGAGAAGGGGAACACGGGAAAGGACTTTGTACTCTGTGGAGTTGGTGTTTGTATGGACAGGCCTGCGTATCTATCCTTCTTCAGTCATTACTCTTAACAGGTCACGGTTAGGTCTTTCATTAGGGGGGAAAAAACCTACTACAAAGTACAATTCTGGGGCATGCGCAGAATCTGAACCCAGGCTTTATAAGAAGACAAGAGCCACACTGGGAGCTGTGCGCTGCTGTGCGGACCATCCTCCCACTCCCCGGAGGACGCCGGGCTGGAGGGCCAGGCTGGGGGACCAGGCGGGAGGCTGGGCTGGAGGGCCAGGTGGGTGGCATCCTACTCTATAACAGCGCAGCTGAATCGTAGGGGCTCGAGGGCAGCAGTGATAACTAAGCCACTGTGGCACAAGGTTAAAAGAGGGGAGTCCGGGGAAGGGCAGGTGGCAGGTCTTCACCCATCTCCAGATCTTCTCATGGGCTTAGAATGTTTTTCCAAATAAAAATAAGAAACTCTCAAGAAGAAAAACAATACCACTAGCCCTGGCCCCTCAGGTCTTCAGTCCCCACCTGTGGATCAGAGAATACTCACTTCGTATTGGTCTCCAGGGCAGAGGCGCGCAAAGCCAGCCAGACCTGCAGGCAAGCAGTTAGGACATGAGGTGTTGAAAGTGCATCCCCGAGGCTCGTGCCGCACACTGAGAAATCCAGGTGCAGTGCCACACTTTGGCAAACCTCAGATAACATTTTTGGGGCCATCTGTATGGAATAGCTTTTTTTGGGAGTCCCTTCTATGGTGGCTGGAGAGGACATTCCTTGATGGGGGGGATGGGAGAGGATTTCTGGGGCAGGGACACTGCTCCAGGGTGGCTAGAGTTCTGGGCACCTCGGCAGGTTCCAGGGTCAGGGCATTAGGGCCCGAAAGACACCCTCACTTGTTTGTGTACATGTTCCCATAAAAATAAACGGGTGTCTAGTCTTCCTTCCTGTTGTGAGACTGGAGGTTTCTTTGGGCTTCCCAGTTAAGGCTACAGCCCACCCCTTCCTATCCCCCCATCCTTCCCACCCAGCGCCCTGATGCCGCCATCTACTGCATTATGAAATCACTGCATTTACACCAACTAGTGATGAAGACAAATCAAACCAGCCCTCCCCCTGACAACAACCTGCACCCGCAGAGGGGAGAGGTGGCCTCCTGGCTCTGGCCATTTCTGAAAGGACCCGCTCCATCTGAGGCCTGGCACGCTTTCTATCTGCTGCAGCAAAACCAAATCTCGGCAAGCTACCCGGCCCCTCCTGGACTTCTGGGAACGCTGGCTCTGGCCAGTCTCTTTCTTCTTTCTAACAACATGTACTGAGAGCTTGCTGTGGGTGAGGGTCTGCACCACGCATCAGGGTAACTATTTGGAAATCAGGAAAGATTTCCCAGATACCCACAGTATGGAACAAAACATGGTTAGAGCAGCTGAGGGCCTGCAAACTGGAAGACAGATTAAAGTGAGGTCCTTTCTGCACTACCTATCAGCTAGCCCACCCTAGATGATTTACCTAACCCTGTTTCCTCACCTTTAAAATAGAGATAACAATGTTCACTTTATAAAATTGTTGGTAAGGAAACAGATGGTATCTGACACATAGTAGGTGCTTAGAATGTGGTAAGGGTTACATACCCATGTATTGAGCACATGATGTATACTATTCATTTAAAAGATGTGCTCTCCCCAGGCACAGTGGTGCATGCCTATAATCCTAGTGGCTTGGGAGGCTGAAGCAGGAGGATTACAAGTTTGAGGACAGCCTTAGTAACTTAGCGAGACCTGGTCTCAAAATTAAAAAAAATAATAAAAATAAAAAGGGTATGTAGATCAGTGGTAGAGCACACCTGGGTTCAATCTTGAGTAGAAACAAATATGATCTACAACAAATTAATACCCATCAGGGAAGCAAACAGCAAAGAAGAAATGATAAAAGATCTTTGCTTTTTTTCTTATTTTGTGTTTTTATGAGAATGTATTCCTTACATAATTAAAATAAAAAATAAAAAGAGACAGACTGCCTTTCATCTTCTGTAGGACAGTCTCACGAGGAGAGCGGCAGTGACAGCAAACTTCGTCACAGCAAGGTGGGCCTTGCTCTGCAGGCAGGTGAGGCTGGGCGAGGGGCCTGTGCGTTCCACCACCCTTTTTTCCTTTTTGGGAGGTGCTAGGAATTGGACCCTCCATCTCAGACATTCTAGGCCAGTGCTCTACCACTGAGCTGCGCTCTCAGCCCCCCAGAGTAGTTCTGAAAGGCCTACTGTGTGTCAAGCCTGAGTATGGAGCGGGAGAAAGGCATGCCCCAACCCAGGGCTCACGGCAGAGGCTGATCAGTAATCCCAGCTCCATCTGATCAGCTGCTCTGGCTTCAGTGGGCTGCTTCCTGCCAATCATAAAGCAAAGCCTTTGTACTGACAGGGACCCAAAGTCTGAAAATTTTAATCAAGGAACTAAATAAATGCAATAGAAATGGGGAAAAAAATCTTTGTCACTTTTTAACTTTCTGGTTAAAAAATATCTGTGGTAAAACTTCCAATTAAGGGCTGAAGTTGTGGCTCAATGGCAGAGTGCTTTGCCTAGCACATGTGAAGCACTGGGTTCAATCCTCAGCACCACATATAAATAAAAAAAATTAAATAAAGGCATTGTGTCCATCTACAACTACAAATTTAAAAAATTCCAATTAAAAATTTAGTACAAATATTTGCAGTGACGTTTTAATAAAAGGCAATATTTGTAATTAAAAAGTAAGGCAGAATGCAAAGTGTCATGAAGAGTCTTATCTCAACCACATATAAATGTATCCAAAGGAACAAATCTAGAAAAACTGACCAACACCTAGGAATAACTATTTCTGGCAGGTGGAATCGGGGAGAAAGTTAAATATTTGATGACAAATATTTGATTCCTACCTATTAAATATGTAATTTCTATTTGATTTTCAAAAGATAATGTGATTGGGTTGGGGTTGTGGCCCAGTGGTAGAGCACTTGCCTAGCATGTGTGAGGCCCTGGGTTCAATTCTCTGCACCACATATAAATAAATAAAATAAAGGTCTGATGACAACTAAAAAATTAAAAAAAAAGAAGAAAGAAAAGATCATGTGATTAATTATTTTGTAACAAAAAAGATATAAAAGAGCTACTAACATATTGGTAGTCAACATAAACACATGGAAAAGGCTTGTTGGGCATTTATGATTATTTTAACAAAGTTTAGTACTGGGTTGAGCAATTATGTATATTTTTAATTTATGGGATATATTTCTCAATTTTTTTTTGGTGGGGGTATGGGGATTAACTCAGGGGCACTCAACCACTGAGCCACATCCCCAGTCCTATTTTGTATTTTATTTAGAGACAGGGTCTCCCTGAGTTGCTTAGTGCCTCGCTTTTACTGAAGCTGGCTTTGAACTCACGATCTCCCTGCCTCAGCCTCCTGAGCCGCTGGGATTACAGGCAGTGCCACCATGCCCCGCTTCTCAGTGTTTTACAAATTATAAGGCACGACTTTCAAAAGTCGCTGCACCGAAATTCAAGAAGACACAAACATCCTGTTTCTGTTTATCCAGTGATTTCTCAGTTGCAGCCTGAGAGGAGATGATTTTGATGAGCTGGTAGAAAACAGCCCTGTGATTCTTAGATCCGTAACACAGAAAAGATGTCCAAATAACTAACGGGTTCCTGCTTCCTCTGCCTCCTCACCTTGACATTTATAGTCTTTGTATTCTGGGTTCTTTTTGCATTCAACATGAATTTAGCCATCTGAAGAAGACAGGGATCATGTCACAAGGTGCCTCTCCTTTACCAAGAGCTGGGTAACAAACTGTGACTCTACAGGACACAGCTCTTCCACCCCACTGATGGGCTGGGGTTAAGACAGCACAGGGCTGAGAAGCGCTAAAAGAACCTGCTGTTGCCAGCAGCCGTCAGTAGGTGGCAGCAACTCACCAGCTTGTCCAGTGCACCCAGCCAGTGGTCCATTCAGAAGAGCTTTTATTAATAATTAAAGATGGCAAGACACTTAGAGGACTTAACTGAATTAAGAGCAGAATTAGAGAAACCCATTTTCACTAATAATTTAGGGCCCTTAGTCTTTAAAAAAACATACTTCTGAAGGAAAGCATAATTGGCTGCCTTTCACAAATCCAAAGCTTGACATGCTAATTCTAATAAAAATCCAAAGTGCTTTTAAAGAAAAGCCTGCAAATGAGTTTGGGACTGATTCATAGCCTGTTTATGTGTGCAACCACAATAAAACCTTGGTTAAAAAGACACTGGGCTGCTATGGTTGCTAGATAAAGGTGAGGAAAGGGGAAAATCCTTTGACTTTTTCCCCCTTTCAATATTGCCAGAAATTTCATATCTGAAAACCTTAACTGAAAGGGAGAAAAAAGGCACATAGCGATGACTCCTCTTATGTAATCCAAGTTGTTAAGCTCTTTCCTGGAACTGCTTGTAGAGGTGTCAGAGACTCTGATCACAGCAAGGACGCAGCAGAAAGGAGGCCGTGGCCCTGGCAGAGCTCCCTGAAGCTCTGCCTGTGTGTGCAGGTGCACTCGAGTGGCAGTGGCAGTGCGTGGGCTGTCGGCTCCTCGCACACTCGGGCACGTGGGGCTCCTGTTCCCAGTCAGGAAAGCGGAATGTTTTGTCTCTCCTCCTGCAGTTTGGGGATCACTGTTGCACTCTGGGAAGTTTTCCTCAGGACCACTCTGAGGCCGTCTGGCGTGAGCCCCGAGGGGTGAGTGGAGGGAGGCCCCGGGGACTTGTGAGCACTGCACCCTCACCAACCCTCTGCAGCTTCACTCGCTCCTGGCGCTAGCTCTTCACAGCCTCAGTGGAGGCTAGGAGCCACAGGGAGCAGCCGCCCACGGGTGGCCTGTGCCCACACATGGACGGGCCAGAACGCCTTCCAGGGCTTCTCCCACTTGCACCAGGATCTTCCTTCTCAAGAGTCACCCTTCCTGCCCCTGGGACACTGCCGGTGGCTGACGGCGGCTCCGCGTCAGCCTGACTGACTTGCTGACCAGCTCTCCGGAGGCCCACTGGGCCCCAAAGCTGAAGGAGTTAGCCCAGACTTCAGGACACGTGCTTGGAACTTAATTAGCCTGAGGTCATCGGGAAGAAAACCGGTTTTCCCCAAGGAACCTCCATCCTGGTCCCCTGTCTCAGAGCTAGTGCTCTCTCCGCAGGGGCATTCCCGGCATTTCAGAATCTGGCCCCAAAGAACTGCCCACGTCTCCCAACAAGCACTCTACCTCCCAGGTCTTTTCTCAGGCTCCTTCGTCTTCTGTTTTTTTTTTTTTGTACTGGGGATTGAACCTGCCGGGGCATTCTACAGGGAGCTACAAACTCAGCCTTTCTTATTTTTTATTTTGAGGCAGGTTCTTGCTAAGTTGCTGAGTCTGGCCTTGAGCTTGTGATCCTCCTGCCTCAGCCTCCTAAGTGGCTGGGGTTATAGGCGTGCACCACTATGTCTGTCCTGTCATTTTTTAAAAAAATTTAAATCAGTGGTTCCTTTTAGCTGTCCATGACAGTAGAATTCATGTTGATAGAACCGTGTCCTGTCATTGTGGAAGCAGCTTCCCTTCTTTGGTGTGTGCTACCCCGGTCCTGCTGATTCTAATTCATGGGTGACACTGTGAAGCCTCCTTCCGTCCTCCCCACTCCTCCCGCCTCCCCTCGGGCCTCCACAGCCATCTGGTCATGTTATTGGTCCAGCTGGTCACTTACTCCATTGAATTAAGCGCCCCGGCTCACGTCTGCACTTCCCCAGGAGCTCTTGTGGAGCTCAGGCTGGGACCATCATGAGGCACCCAGGAAGCACTTTGTCCACGCGGGTGTCACCGGGGCCCTGCCATGGTCGTTAGTGCGTGTTGGGGTGAGGCAGGAGGGGAAGTGGAAAGGGTGTGGTGGGAGGAAGTTAGGGTTGCCAGGTCTGAGGGCACCGTGCAACAGCTTTAGTTGGTCGATGCGTGCGTTGGGGTGGTTATTTCTACCAGAACGAGTAACAGAAGAAATCTACCCTGGCAAAGAGCTAGGATTTCCTGGCAGCAGGCGGGCTTCCCTTGCCCTTTCTGCAGGGAGGGGTGGGTATCTACAGGGCGTTACCCTCCGAAGGCTGCACAGGTGTGGCCTCCGGCTTTTATGTGACATTAGGAAAGCAGAGGTGACAGAAGTCCATCCATGGGAAAGCAGAGTCAGCCTCAGGTCTGAGAGCCTTGGGAGAAACCCCTGGGCCAGGTGGGAGCTGAAGGTCAGCAGCCCATCACCATGCCCACCTACCTAGCTCTGGTAGCAGCAGGGTGATTCTCGGGCCTCTGGGGTGGTAGGGCCCCCACACCACCCATGGCTGTCAACCAGCCCTGAGGACCATGTGGGTGGGTGGGCAGCCCTTCCCTCACCCCAAGGTGTCTGTGTGGGGTGGGGAACCTCCCCTAGCAGAGACCACCCTTTGAGCAAAAGAGTGCCTGTGTGGGGTGGGAGATCTCTCCCAGCAGGGACCACCCTTTGAGCAAGAACTTCCTCACAGTGTGTGGCTGGGTTGGGGTAGCAGGAGCCAAGAGCCAGGAATTCAGTTTCAAGTTCAACACCCACTAACTGTGTAACTTCCGGGACTAGTCACTGAAGCTCCCTGAGCCCTCATTTCCCATGTATGAAATGAAGAGATTTTCCCTCTCACCAAAAACTGAGGCTTCAGGTAACAGTGAGTATCGGAAACAGGAGCAGCAGGGCCCACCCTGTGCTTGTCCACAGGGGTGGCACTGGCTGCTGACGGCAGCATCCTCAAAGTTAAAAACATCCTCTAGGACCCCACCCCAGAGCCATGTGCTCTGGCTTCCTGCAAGGGGCTTTGAACTACTGATTCGGGTGGAGAGTCTGGAAAGACCTCAGGAAGAGAAGAGAATTGAAAACCCGGACAGGTGCAAACACCCGAACAGGATTCAGGGGTTCTGAAAACAAGTACGCAGCACCACCCGGGAGCTGAGGGCCAGGGCCCTCTTGTTCCAGGTGTACCCACTCAGAGGTCCTCACTCCACCCACAGGGCACAGTGCACCTCCAGAGGCAGGGGATTCATTTGTAAATGAAGCTCTCCTGTTGAGCACTCTTTAAAGAAGTCTGCCTTCTTAACTTCCCTAATTGCAGAAAGTAGACAAGAGGGTGATTAAATCCCCATTAACAGCCCAGGGAACAAGCTACTTAAAAAGCCCAGAGAAAACAGAAGGCTAAGCACCAGCCCTGGGCTGCAGTCAAACAGAAATGGGCCTCCTGCCTGGCCACCGAGCTGTGGATCTGGTGACCCCTGGGGCCGGTTCCATCTGTAGCCAGACCTCCCTTTTGTTCTGAAGATGCTGTGATATAAATCAATGATGCCTCTAGAATGGAACTTTCTGGAATGAACACCACAAAGGCGCAGTCCTCTGTGACTAAACGATTGGTGGTAGTTTACAGACACACGGGAGTAAAGGAGCGGTTCAAACCACACGGCAAGGAGGCCAGCCGGCAAGTCTGGAGTGAGACACTGCCCAATGGGGGCTTCTACCAGACCACGGAGGGGAAAGGGGGCATGGGTTCGTTTCAGATTAAAGGAGACCTAAAGGTATACCCACCAACTAATCATGATGCACGGTCCTGATCCTAACCCAAGCAAATTGACTGTAAGACAACTGGGGAAATTCAATAATGAAATGGGTTACCACCGGGCCTGTTGACTTTGTTAGATGTGGTAATGTGACAGGACTCGGCACACAGCTATAATAAGATGGCCGTATTCTTCAAGACATGCACACTGGAGTACCAGGGCAGCCTGACAGAACTAGGTTTCATTTCATCAAAGGACTTCTGATTCATCAAAGGGAGAACAAACAAGAAGACAGATCAGGCAAAAGTCTGCTAATTATTAAATCTAGGTGATGGGTGTATGTTTATGAAGGTTCATTGTGATGTTCTCTCCACCTTTGTGTATGTTTGAAGCTCTTGGATAATGAATGTACTTTTTTAAGTCTGAAGGCAAGACTCAGGATGAGAAGCATCGATATGCTAACACCGTGTTGGGGCTGAGCACGGGCGGCCCTATCTGTGCAAGGAAACAGGAGCATGCGTCCCAGACCTCAGGGAGCTCTGCAGAGTACTCTCCCTGATGGGAAAGGGTTACCTTTCATCTTGATGGAGAACTCCCCCAGCAGATTCTCCAGCTCCGCTTCCAGGGCACACATATTCTGTGGGGCAGAAAGCAGAGGGGCATTAGAGTGGCCTTCTTTCCCAGGCATTCAAAGCAGAGATCATTTTAATAGCACGGCAGGCCCTGCATGAACGACCGGAGAGGCACAGCACAGCCTTTGAAACATTCTTGCTAAATGTTTAATCTGAGGCTAAGCAGGACATCCAGGCATTGATGAACAAGTTGGATTATACCAAAGACAAATTCAGAATGTGGGATATTCTATGAGAACTGGCTTGGACTCACACACACACACACACACACACACACACACACACCATCATGGTGAAACAAATTCTAAAGAGAGGGAAGAGACATAGTATCCAATTGCAACACCTTGACCTTGATTACAACCTGATTTGAAAATTAAGCAAATAAACTAAAGTAGCTATAAAAGGCATCAATGGGCTTAATAGGAGAAACCTGAAAGTGGACCAGATGTTAGATAATTTTACAGGAGGACTGTCAATTTTCTTAGTTGCAATGGAATGTGGTTATGCAGAAGATGCACTGTTACTATTAAGAGATCCACGGCCCCTGGGTTCAATCCCCAGCACTGCAGAGATGGAGAGAGAGAGAGAGAGAGAGAGAGAGAGAGAGAGAGAGAGAGAGAGAGATGCCATGTGTTAAGTGGCCTGAGTTACCTATTCTACAGCATACATATTTGAAAACATAATGCTGAATACCATACATAAAGTTTTTACTTATCAATGAAAAAGATTTTTAAGAAGAGATCCATGCTAACATATTTATGAAATGAAATGTCTTGATATCTTATTCTCAAGTGACTTGGAAGAAAAACTAATCCCATGAGAGGGAGAGAATATGACAAGACGTTACCCGTGGGAAAATCTCGGTATGGGGGTCTGGTATTCAATACACTCACTAGTCTTTCAACTTTTCCATAGGTTTAAATTTTTTAAATAAAAACAGGGGGCAAAAAGAGCACAGGAACTCAATTCTGCTCGGGTAGGCCTCCTGCTGCAGTGCCATACCCCCCCCCCCAAAATGATTCCTGGGTCTGACGAGGGTCCGCTCCTCAGGCTGAGGTTGAGGGAAGCACGGCAGAGCATGTGGGTGGGCACATCCCTCCCCATCCTACCCCCCAGCGTCTGAGGACCTCATCAGAGCAGCCAGGGTCGGATCCTGCACAGTCAAATCCTGGCTTTTGCGGTGGCAAGAGCATACGCCACAGAAATGTCAAGAGAGGCACGCAGCCACGCAAGTCCTGGTCGACTTTCTCCTCTAAGGCGGCCCTTCCTCTCGCTGAAACTGAGCCCCACACCTTTGACTCTGAGCAAAGTCACAACCCCATGCCCTGGCACTTAAGCCAGGCTGGGTGTTTCTGAAACGCCCTCTGCGGCTGCGGTAGGTTCTCTGCCTCTGTGCTTTGAGCAGCCTCCATATTGGAACTGCTCTTTTGATTTCAGAGATCTACAGAAACAAGGACTTACGGACCAGGAATGCTTCTGAGCTGGGGAGTCTTTACCTCTGGGTCCGTGCACTTGGGTGGGGTGAGTAGGAGGAATCACATCCACTAAACTTGGCCTAAGACATCCATGTCATGCATGTAGAAAGAAGCCACAGCAGTACCAGTGGCACCCACGTGTGACCTTGACACCGAGACAGCAATCACAAGTTGGTGTCACATCATGTCTTACAGATAACTTTAAGAAACCATATATATTTTTTCCTGCCTTGAAATCTTACTAGCTCTTAATATTAATAGAGTAGTAGCACCACACTATACCACACATTTGACTTTAAAAATATTGTGACAACTGTATTGACAATATGGAAATAGTTATTTCAATGTATAATTTTATTCTTTGAATTCCTATCCTATTTATGCATTAAAAACATTATTTTGAAAAGGAAAGTTTAGGTAAGAAGTGAACTGTTTTAGACTCTGTGGAGAGAGAATCGTGGTTCAGACGAGGCAGTGGGCAGGGTGTGCACAAAGCCATCCTGAAGCAGATGCCCAGCCCTGGGGCTTGTCCAACACGCCCTGGTCAGGCCAGGCGATGACTTCATTCATGAAATCGGATCTCTGAATAAAGGCCCAAGGGATAGTGAGAAGTGCAGCTTTAATAATTCAGCCACTTCATCAAGGACATTGGTATCAGGTGACCCCAGGAGGGCCTGGCCCCAGAGACTGTCAACCAGGACCTCACAACAGCACACTTCTGTTCACTGCTCTTTATCTTGTCTCCTTGGAGATAAAAGTCCCTCTCTCACACAGAGTTGCAGGCAGGAGGATTACTGATGCACAGAGCTGACCCCCAGAGTAGCCACCTTAGCCACAAGGGCTCTTCAACAGGGTGAAGCTTGGTTGGACTCTACACTAGAATGTTTAGAAGTGCATTTAAGTGACAAAAATCAGAGCACTGTGGCCTGTTTGTTTTGAACAATTCCACTATTGCTTCGCTAGCATGTATTTTCTATTTTCAGGCTGACCATGACACCGATCTCTCGAGAGTGGAATGAGTGTGTGTCCCTGTTTGCCCAGGGTGGGGTCAGGCCAGGTGGGGCCGGCCAGCAAGCAGGTGAGCGGTACACATACCTCCGTGTACTCCTTGTAGCTCCGGCTGATCTCCGACAGACTCTCCCGGGCAGCTCTGCTGGCGGGCGACACTGCGAAGGCCTGCTTCATTTTGCTGGCGCCGTCCTGGAGACGTCGCTGGATGCAGTAGGCCTCGTAGAGCTCGTCCACCTGCAGAGTGCGAACAGGAAGGCAGACACGTGAATCGCTGTCCGGCCTGGGAGAAGTCACGCGGGTCACCAGGATGGGCCTAAGGTGCTCTGGGTTTGTTATTCCTTTCCACAGACACCAGTCACTTGTACTTCTACCGCTGTGATACGTTTTCTGTCTTAAAACAGATTTCACTCTGATCCTGCCATCAAGTTACACAACCCTGCCTTTTTGGGGGGGGGGGGCTCTCATGGTCTGGGGTGGACTCAGAGAGCTGGTCCACTGGGACAGGCAGCTCCGTCTGTGGAGCGAAGGCTGGAAGAGGTTTCAGCTTCAATCTGGGGTGAAAACTCTTGTATACAAACCTCCTACTTATCTGAAGGTGATCTTTACACATCAGCATTTTTTTGAAAAAAGAACTTCAAGCTATTTATTGATAACAATTTTTTTTGTGATGTCTTGGCTCAGTAATTAGAAAAAAATAAATTTATTAAGTGGTTTAAGATAAGAATTTAATTGTTAAAATTTATTAAATGGAACCCATGAGAACTGGGAACTCTTATATACAAATCACACCATAATTTTAAAAATACAATGAAAAAATGAAAATGAACACCCCCCTTCTACACTTCCTCGTAGTAATAGACCCTCTTAAATTGACTCATCACATTCACCAGACACACCTGACACACTTCAAAGGCAGTGATTCTCCATCAGCCTAGGGAGGCTTGACCCTGGGTGTCTACCGACACAGAGTGGACAGAGGCCAGGGGTGCAGCCACACAGCCCTTCTCACAGAGGACAGCCCTGGACAGACGTCGGAGTGCACCCGCCGGGCTGAGGCTGGAATGCGTCCTAGTTATTCCTGACAACGTCTATAGTCCTGCACTGTCTTCAGTCACCAGCACCACCCAGCCACAGTCACTCCGGGAGTGGTCAGGCAGAGAACAGGACCACGGGGCCTGGGCAGAAACAAGGAAGCTTGCGCTCCTGGGAGGAATGGCCTACCTACGCCATTGGAATTTTCATTCTAGTACGAACTTTGTTTTCTCAAAGAGGTGGCTGATGCCCTAGATGAGAAGCTGAAATGGGGCAGCAACTGTGCTTTACCCTGAAAGGCGACTGTGGGAAGGACCGCGGGGTCAGCTCAAGGTCACTCTCTGCTGCTACTGAGTCCAAGGACTCATTCATCTGTGCTGGAGGAACTCCTAGACTCGGAATAGACTCCAGTTGGGCTGGGGATCTAGCTCAGTTGGTAAAGTGCTTGCCTCACGTGCACAAAGCCCTGGGTTCAATCCCCAGAACCACACGCCTAAAAGAAGAAATGGCAGCAGTCTTCAGTCTTCCAGGCCGGTGGACTCATCTCCGACCAGAGGGAACTGGAAGATTCAAGGCTGCTCAGATCTCTTGGTGGGTGATGGACACAGAGCATGGTTACTGTGCTTTAAATCTAAGCTAAGGCTTTCCTGCTGAGACATCCCAGGCCCATTCTGGTTCAGGAGGTTGGGGCTGGGCCAGCAATCTGATAGGTTACATGAACACCGTGGATTGTTCTGATGCGGGAGATCCCCAGACAACTTCTAAAAATGGTGTGTGGGTACCTCTTCTGATGTAGCCCGGCAGCTCCCTTCTCATGGATGCCATTGTTTTGTTTATTGAGTTTGGCAGAAATAAAAGCAACTTCAGATTTTCCTAGGCTATAAGTATCTTTCAAAGTGGCAAAAGTACTTTATAAAGGCAGTAATACGTACATAAACATCATATTCAGGTTTCAAGACAAAAAGATCCTTAGCATCAGCTAGACTGGATACGGGTCCTTCCCCAGCCCCATTTCACTGGGAGGAAAGGCAAGGTCCACACAGCAACAGTGTGAGTGGGAAGGGCCAGAGTCCAAGGCTCTGACTTCTAATAGGGAGATGTGCTGAGATCCTCCAGGCCTTGCACTGGTAGGAGAGGCTGATGAGCGTGGGTGGAAATGGAAATTGCTGGCGGCTTGATATGTCCCCAAAGGGGAAGCTCCTAACTGGCACTGATAATTCCTCAGAGCGTCCAGAACACAGGGTGATCGTCCTGTCCATCACACTAGACCCGGTGCACCACCAGAGAAGTATTTATGGGGTTCAGGGCCGGATGTCAGGGCATAGACAGCTGTCTTTACATAACTGAAAGGTCTTCAGAAAGGAGTTCATGGGATGCCAAGCTGTATGTGGGACCAGAGGGCAAAGTTTTTGCTGGGGCCAGTTTGGGCCACTCTTATCTCAAGGCACACCACCCGGAGCCCACAAGTCCTCCACCAGCCTTGTTTGCCACACAGGAAGCAGGCCTTCAGGAGAGACCAGGATAACAGCAGAGCCAAACTGTGCTGGGCTGTCAGGCTCTGGGCTCCTATTTCCCCTCCCTGTCTGCTGGGAGTCAATTGGGTAAGAAATTCTCCTTGGACTAGATGTTACACTCAGGCCAAAGGTGTATTGATCAGTAACCGAGAGCTGAAAACCAGGAGCAAAGTCAAGAGGAACTTCAATTACCTTACTAATGTGAAACTCCAGGCGTCTCATGTATCTCTCGATCGTTTTAATTTGCTGGAATTAAAAGAAGTTAAAAGTATAGTCAATCACAATTCAATTGATTTAGGTTTGTGTGAATATTTCTTTTTGTTATCTTATGAAGAAAAAAAAACAGTTGATGGTAAACATTTCCCCTCTCCTATTTTAGTTGCTATTTAGAGATGCTTTAATATCAATTTGAAAAATATTTTTCAAAATATCAAATGTTGTAAGATGGAGTTGGGTTAATTATTGTGACCCTTGTGTTTAATGTCAGGGAGGGCAAACCATGGACAGTATTGGATTTCTGGCAGAACAGTGTCAAGTTGGACTGTAGTCAAATATTCTCATAATGCATTCTCTGTGTTCCACACTGGGATTTTCCCCTTCATAGTTTAGCATCTAGGAAGTTGGGAAGCACTTCATGATTTCCACTGGCCGATGCAGGCCACTGCCTGTGCGTGCTCACAGATAATCAGCGCTGCGTGTGTCACCTCTGAGTTGTAGATGTTATTGTTTTCCTACGCATTGAATTTAATTGTCCTTAAATACCTTCAGAAAGAATTTGCTGTGATTCAGCATAGAAATAAAATTATTGTGTACACAGAAAGGTGTGACCAGAGAGCAATTCCATATACGGCTTAAAGGAAAGAAAGTAAGAAATTCGTGTCTAAATAGCCATAAAAAAGAGTTCTGACAGTTAGGACAAGACACAGATTTTAAGTGAAAAGAAAGAACTGTCTAAGTTTAACTGGAGTCATTCATTTTTATTTTCTTAGTGGCACATAAATTAATGTTGCATTTTTTAATCAAAGAAGTCTGAGATATGATCAAGTATGATAGATAATATTTAAAGATGGTTCAGCTGAGGAGCTCCAAACACTTCAGAAGTCCTCAAACTTATCCAAACAGAGGGAGACCCTACCATCCAGCAGCATTTCTATGGAAATGACCTTGAAAACTTCTTTGAATCTGCAGATCATGGTGTTTATTTATTACCCTCATTAGACAAAAGCATGAATTTTTCCAAGATTAGAAAAATCCTTGGTTCTGTAAGATTCTACAGCTCTTGGAGTCTCTCACATGAATATCTAGTCAAGGGCTCAGTTTTATCTTTCAAAAACACCCCAACACAGAATAACTTACCTTGTCTAAGTCATACAGCACACCCTAAAATACAAACAAAGAGTATGTGGATTAAAGTATATCTTCCTCAAAAATGTTACCAACACGAATACAATAGTTTCACCTGCATTTTCACATTATCTGTGAAATACAATGATCAGTCCTGCAAAATTTTACTGAAATTTTGACATTAGCTTTAAAAGAGTTAAAAATCCAATTATTTTAAATGTTGGTAAGAGTACTTTAAAGAGTGAATATTTATGTGCCCTCTGTGTTCCCAAAACTGCACCCAGTTCTCTCTGTCCACTGGGGGATTTAGGGTTTTCTTTTGCCTTCAGCATTCCTCTCCCAAGCATTGAGGGTATGTGAATTCATGTCCCTTTTTAAAGTTTCTAAAAATGAATGATGTTAGGCTGGGGTGCAGTTCAGTGGTACAGCACTTGCCTAACATGTGGGAGCCCTGGGTTTCATCCCCAACACCACAAAAACATTAACAAGAATAAAAAGTGATGTTAACATGAAATGTAGCAGTGGTATATATGTTGGAAAGATACTTGCCTTGCTGTTTGGACAAATAAAACTGGTACTTAAGAAGCATTCCTGAGGGTGGAGATAATGCTTTTCACTAATTGTTTTTCACGAAAGCTCATTTCCTGTGAGCTCACAACATCACAGTATAATTGGTGCTCCAGCCCTAGGTCCTCCAGCTGAAGGCTTTTTATGGCACCTGAGGTCCTGGCAGAAGCCCCTCCTCCCATTCACCACTGTTCCCTAGGAGGATCATTGGCCGCCATCTTGGATACTCCAGGGCATCCACAAGGGGTGAAGGTCATCCTATGGGGAGTCCCACATTTGAGGTGATTTATGCAACACTAGTAGAAAATAAAACCACTTAATCTTGGTAAAGCCTTTGACCTGGGAGCCTTTGAAAAGGACAATCAACATTTTAGCCCCTCTCCTAAAAAGGTAAAGGACAAAAGTCTTTCCATGTATAAGCTGCACCTCTGAGGTACCCGTGGTCTTTTCTCAGGTTCTCTGATGCCTTCAAACATTAAGGTATAACAGCGTTTAGCAGTGGACAGAATCTTTTACAATAGTGCAGGCATTAGGAATACCTCTCCAAGCAGACACGCGCTCACAGATTCACTGGGATTCAGGAAGTTCCAGCTCGGGGTTCAGTGGACCAGCCTGCGGACTCCTCTGACTTCTCAACCCATTCACCCCCTGGAGACTCACTCCTTCCCTGTCACCACTGAGCCATTTTTTCTTTTTAATTGGAGATAAAGTAAATGTTCTAGTTCCTGAATTATGAATGTGCTAACACTATGCCAGGAAAACTCCAATTTTTCCTTTCCTTATAGTATTTGGGAGATGGAGGGATTTTGGCAATTTCTCCTAAACGGTGTTCCTTGTTATCAACATGCTAGGAAAATACTGAGAAGTGTTAAAAATAGATCATGAAGAAGAAAGTCCTCTTCTTCCTTTTGAGACACACAGGACAATGCAGATGGCACTTTGCCCCTTGGATCTGGTGTTTTTCAATGGTCCTTCCTCCCTATCCAGTACGAAGAAGCCAAACCAGAACCCCATGGTGGCAACTTCCACAGGACTGGGTGTACCTACCAGGCGTGAGTTTCTCTTCATGTCTCTTAGCTGAGTCGTTAGCTTGTCCAGCTCTGTCTGGTGAACACCCAGGTATTCACTGCAAAGACAAGACATCACCGTGAACTGTCACTGGTGGATGACCGCTGTGGCCGCTGACCTTTTCCTGCTGCCTGGAGGTCAAGAACCTGAACTTGGCTGGGGGGTGGCTCAGTGGTGAGTGCTGGCCTAGCATGCATCAGGCCCTGGGTTCCATCTGCAGCACTGGGGAAAAATACATCTGGACATGGTGGGTCAGGGGGCGCCGTACTTTCCTAGTCTTTATAAAGCTTTAGCAATTGTATCCCATACTGTCCAGATTATCAGAAAGGAAGGCCCCTGCGTGTCCGAAAGTCCAGAAATGAAAAACCCCTAGGGAGGGAAGGGGAAGACTCCCGGGGAATGGGTCCGGATTCTCAGAATTTCGTTGTTAAACACAACGCTGACTTGGATGCCTCATCACAGGCCTGAAAGGTCTCACTCTGGGCCAAGAGTCCCTGCAATGTGCTCCGGGACATTGGAAGACCCCTCTGCCACGTCTCTAGAGTGGATAAGCCTGAGCGCCATGGTTGAGTGGAAACCAACACTAACTGGGGCTATCTCTGATGGACGACCGCTCCAGGTCTCCTTCGGCGTGGAGGAGGTGAGCTGCAACAGGCTTCACATCCTTGGGACTCATAGTAGCTCCCCTTTATTCTTTAGAGTGAAGAATAAAACACCTATTACAGATAGAGCCTTCCGGAAGTGACCTCATAGGCTACCTTTCCTCCCGTCATGTTAGAAGGGAAAGTGCCTGACCAGGACCTGTCTCTTACCTGAGTCCCTTTTTCAGGGCCCTGTAGACCTCTTCCACCCTTGTAGGCTGAGGCTCTTTGGGAGGATTGTTGTTTTTGTGTCCTAAATTGTGCATTTTCTTCAATTTGGTCTGGGGTTTCTTGAGAGCTGAGGAATTTTCAATGAAGGAGTTACACCTAGGGAAAGAAAAGAAAAGACATTGAGACCCTCGGCCGTCCAAAAGGATTTGATAAAGTTTTTCCATTCGCCTAGGCTTCAGGTGATTGTCATTTGGAGAAGGCAGCTGCTCTTGGTTAGGGGCAGATCTGAGCCTCCTGCATCTATTTCTTGGTATTCAATTGGTTGATCGCAGAAATCTGGAAGTTTGGGGCAAGGCCAAACTTCCTTGAGGTCACCTGCGTTCTGAGCGAGTGCACCGCTTCAGCAGACCCTCAGGGAGCCTGGGAGAGTGGGTGCAGTGGGAAGGATGAACAGGCAGAAGGTACAACAGAAGGTACACTCACGGCACCAGGTCAGACAGCCTCTGCTAGGTGTGGCTGGGACATGAATGAAACCCTGTGGATGCAAAGCTGTAAGCCTGACAAGCAGCTAATCCCATGTGGCTTGAAAGAAAAGCACACACAGCCATACTGATAGCCTTCTTTAAAGGGCTATTTGTTTTAAAATTATATAGCTATAATTATAAAAAGTCAGCAGCTCTATTAACAGACATGGAGTATACACTGGCAAGACAGACTCCTGGTGACTTCGACCCACGCTATGGGTGATCAGGAGACCCATGCCCTGCACTCACTAATCTGCTCCAGGGGGAGAGACAGGAGACTGGAGTCCCCTGCCCCTAGGCTATTACACTCTTCTGCCACCACTGTCCCAGGCCACCCACATAGGCCCTCAGAGGGGGACTTTATGACATCAGAAGCACTGAGGTCAAACGTGATTACACGCTGCCTCTTTGCTACCTGGGCTTGCTGAATTTGTGGCTGAAAGCTCAGTCCTTCCTTGTCCTGGATGCGAATCCAAAACAAGAACACGGTTTTGAGAAAAAGGAAAATGACTGTTATTGCTTTGCTAGCAAAAGAGAAACACAGGGGACTCCTGTCCCAAAGGCCGTGACTCTGCCCATCAGCAGGAACAGGGGGCTTTTATAGAGATGAGTCAGAGAAAAAACGAAATTAGGGAGGAGAGATCAAGAAGGAGAGGATCAGGGAGGAGAGGATCAGGAAGGAGAGGATCAGGGAGGAGAGGATCAGGGAGGAGAGGATCAGGGAGGAGAGGATCAGGGAGGAGAGGATCAGGGAGGAGAAGGTTGTGAAAAAGGAAAAAACATGTACATTTCAAAGCCACAAGGATATAGTCAAAGCTTCAAGTGACCCCTGTTCCAGTTTCAGATGGCCCAGGGAGACCAGGAGACGATTTTCACAGCCTCTGACTGAGTGGCATCTGCTCCCTAGCTGCGAGTCTTCATCTTTATTCACTGCATAACTTCATTCCAAACCTAGTCTCTGAAATCTGAATGTAATGGAAAATGTGCTTCACAGGGGATGGGGAGGGGTGGGGTGCGGAGAGGTCTAGACACGGGCCACCAGCTTGTCCTACATCCTCGGTCCTCCGTGCAGGAGGAATTCCAAAGGATAGGGAAAAATCAGTGGCACTTCATTTGGGGTACCTTATCTTTTCTGTGGAAAAAAGATTAAACTAGTGTGTGTGTGTGTGTGTGTGTGTGTGTGTGTCTTGCAGAGGCTGCCTGCACAGGCCCACAAGTCAGGAAGCCCCCTCCCCAGGGAAAACCAATCTGCACTTGCCTGGATCGTCTTTCTTGAAGGCCACTGAACCCCGCGAAGGACTGGCTTCTAATGATCCCATTGGGCCCTCCCGGTGAGAAGGACTGGGATCCTACCAACATGATTTCTGGGAGTCTGGTTGGCAGTCCTGTAAGAAAGACAGAAAACACACGAGGCTTATCAGTCAGGTGAAGTGAGTCCAGAGGTCGATGTCACTAGGGTTCCGAGACATTGGTGTGATTTTTTCCTGTAGCTTTTTTTTTTTTTTTTAGCCAAAGTGTTTAGCTGTCAGGCTTAAAAACAAAAAGTAGCTATCCACCTACTTAGACCATAATCAATATAAATTACATGAAATTATCCATAACTTTAGGTTTCTTCAGCAGTTCTTCTCTTACAAGGGCCAATCACACCTTCCCAAATATAAGAACTTCAGCAACACTTAGCCTCCAACCAACAGCGAAAACACACAAATGAGCCGCCTGGAAGCCTGGGCTAGGTCCTCTGAAGGCGTGCTCGGCCTGCAGGTGGAATTCCACACTCAGAGGTCACAAGGCTAAACACAAGGCTCCTTCGGAGAGGAACTACTGCAGCTTCTGTCCTGTGCACCCTGAGGATGCCTGAAAGGCAGGACTCTGACGCTGCCGTGGAGGTGCCAAATGAGAAGGTGGAAGGAGTTGTCACTCACAAAGGAAGCCACAATCCAGGTTAGCTCAGCGGCCTGAGGAGGAGCAGCTGGAGGGGACCGCGAGAAGCCTGCAGCCCCGCCCCAGCCTCCAGCAGGGCTTCCCTGAGGACACCCACCGCCATAGACCAAGGTGTCCACGGCCCACAGCTGGACAGAGGCCCAAGGTGGTTCTCCATAGACTGCCCTAGAACGTGAGGTGGTGCTGTCCTTTGCAGGTCAGCAGAGTCACGTACCATGGCCTCACCCTGTGACTTCAGTCCAGAGAGGCTTCAGCTAGCAGGGAAAAGGTGAGACTGTCCAGACTGAAGCCTTCCCCAGGGGACAGACACCAAATCATGTCTGAGTAGCACCAACAATTTCCCCCTTAAAGACCCAATGAGAAGGGAAGAAAAGCTAAACAACAACAAAAAAATTCATGAATCATAATAGTAACTGCCCCCTCCCCTCCGCCCCGTGCTGCTGGTTTTAAATCCCTTTCCTCCCTCCTCCCTCCCGGAAGAAAGCAGCTCTGGGATTTGTGCACATTCCTGCAGCAATGGGTCTGGAAGTGGCCAATAGGCTCCCTCTTTGACCCTGTGGGAGAATATCCTCAGGCCAGCCGAGCAGGGAGGCTGAGTTTGGGGCTTTCTTTTAGAATTTTAAAGGCAACGAAATGAAGCTGAATCCCTTTCTCTCGCCATGCACAAAAGTTAACTCAAAATGGATCAAGGAGCTTGATATCAAATCAGAGACGCGCCGTCTGATAGAAGAAAAAGTTGGCTACGGTCTACAGTCGGTGGGGTCGGGCTCCAAATTCCTCAATAGGACACCCATAGCACAAAAGTTAATAACTAGAATCAACAAATGGGACTTACTCAAACTAAAAAGTTTTTTCTCAGCAAAAGAAACAATAAGAGAGGTAAATAGGGAGCCTACATCCTGGGAACAAATCTTTACTCCTCACACTTCAGATAGAGCCCTAATATCCAGAGTATACAAAGAACTCAAAAAATTAGACAATAAGAGAACAAACAACCCAATCAACAAATGGGCCAAGGACCTGAACAGACACTTCTCAGAGGAGGACATACAATCAATCAACAAGTACATGAAAAAATGCTCACCATCTCTAGCAGTCAGAGAAATGCAAATCAAAACCACCCTAAGATACCATCTCACTCCAGTAAGATTGGCAGCCATTATGAAGTCAAACAACAACAAGTGCTGGCGAGGATGTGGGGAAAAGGGTACACTTGTACATTGCTGGTGGGACTGCAAATTGGTGAGGCCAATTTGGAAAGCAGTATGGAGATTTCTTGGAAAGCTGGGAATGGAGCCACCATTTGACCCAGCTATTCCCCTTCTCGGTCTATTCCCTAAAGACCTAAAAAGAGCATGCTACAGGGACACTGCTACATCGATGTTCATAGCAGCACAATTCACAATAGCAAAACTGTGGAACCAACCTAGATGCCCTTCAATAGATGAATGGATAAAAAAAATGTGGCATTTATACACAATGGAGTATTACTCTGCATTGAAAAATGACAAAATCATAGAATTTACAGGGAAATGGATGGCATTAGAGCAGATTATGCTAAGTGAAGCTAGCCAATCCCTAAAAAACAAATGCCAAATGTCTTCTTTGATATAAGGAGAGTAACTAAGAACAGAGTAGGGTCGAAGAGCATGAGAAGAAGATTAACATTAAACAGGGATGAGAGGTGGGAGGGAAAGGGAGAGAGAAGGGAAATTGCATGGAAATGGAAGGAGACCCTCAGAGTTATACAAAAGTACATACAAGAGGAAGTGAGGGGAAAGGGAAAAATAATACAAGGGGGACAAATGAATGTCAGTAGAGGGGGCAGAGAGAGAAGAGGGGAGGGGAGGGGAGGGGAGGGGGGATAGTAGAGGATAGGAAAGGCAGCAGAACACAACAGACACTAGTATGGCAATATGTAAATCAATGGATGTGTAACTGATGTGATTCTGCAATCTGTATATGGGGTAAAAATGGGAGCTCATAACCCACTTGAATCAAAGTGTGAAATATGATATATCAAGAACTATGTAATGTTTTGAACAACCAACAATAAAAAATTAAAAAAAAATAAAATAAAGGCAATGAAGTTGAAGTATGTAAGAGGTCAACAGCAACAGGTAATGCACACGTGGTTTAGGCAAAAGCAGGTGCAGAAAGCTCCCTCAGTTACTCCCCGAGCTGGAGGGCATGAAAATAGCTGGAATTCCTTCAATTCCTCCAGGAGACAGGCAGCAGGTGCTCTCTGCTGGTGACAGGGGTCTGCATTTCATTAAGGTGCCTTCCTGGTACAGCCGAGCGTCAAGAAAGACTGTGGCTTGGGTTCCTTTTTGTATTCAATACTTTTTTTTTTGTTGTGCTGAGGATCAAACCCAGGGCCTTGGGTGTGCTAGGCAAGTGCTCTACCCCTGAGCTGCAACCTCAGCTGTGTCCTCAATAATTTGATACCTATACTGAAGTCTTCATTTGGTAAACTGTATTAGTATTGTAAATTATTGTCCCAATATGTCTATGTATCATGAATATTCTATGATTACAGAAAAAAGAGTATTTAAATATTTAACTGTGTCTTCTTATACTTCCTGAAATTATACTTCTTTTTTTTTTTTTTTCCGTGGTGCTGGGGATTGAACCCAGGGCCTGTGTATGTGAGGCAAGCACTCTACCCACTGAGTTACATCCCCAGCCCCTGAAATTATATTTCTTAAGCCAAAATTATATATTTTTTCTTATCCATTGGATCACAGTAGTTTACTATGAAACCCCCAGGCATGGTGTGGTGTGGTTCACACCAATACATGGTGTGAACTGGGGATGACTTTTAAATGTCCCCAGGTGATTCTGATGTTCAGCAAAGTTGTGAAGCCACTGCTTTAGAAGGCTCAATTACACAAAAAGAAAAAAGTACAGAAAGCAAGAGGGAGAGGAAAAAGAAAAGACACCAAGTTTGTTGAAACTTTAAGACTTCTGGAAATAACAATCTTGTACAATCTATGAAACCCAACTTTTAAAAAATGGCATTCAGTCTTAAACCCTTCTCTGCCAGCTTTGAGCCTCTCATCAAATGAGAATAAAACACATGTCAGATGCTTCTCTTCTTCTCTTTCCATCACAGTAAGAAGGGCTCCCAAAGAATAAAAGAAATCCTTGTCCAGACCCTAGGCTGTGAGATGCGCTGGGGAGGGTCACTTCCCAGAAACTCTTCAGCACGTTTACCTGTGGGCAGAGGGCCACAGAGGACGTGGCCATGGTGAGCAGTTTGGTTATTGTTCTGCTTTGTCTTCGTGGTCTTAGAAATGATCAGTACCTAGTGGGAAAGAATTTGGCCAAGAGCTGCTCAGGCTGAGACCTCTGTCCCACCAACAGTGTCCCCAAAGATGGACACAACTGCCTGAGGGGGTGTCAGGTGAGAGTCCACAAGATCCAGAGCCCTGGCTCCTGAGCAGCTGTTCTTTTCCCATCCCTCCTTCCCCTGCCCTCCCCCAGCGGCAAGCTCTGAGTTCATTTTTCCTGTCTTCCAGACACCCCACTCCTGGTACCCTAAGTCCTCAGGCCGTCTGACCTCCCAGGAACTCCCACAGCCTGTTCTCTCCCAGCTCCCAGCAAAATCACCCTAGCTACGGTAAGGATTTGATTTGATCATCCACGGCCGGGGTAATCTGCATTTTAATACCAGGTGCACCAACCTTCCCAAAACCTTAACCAAAAGATGGGACGAGCAGAAGGCAGTGTCTGCTGGGAGGGTGTAAAGGAGGAATGAAGTTCTGGAGGACAATATGGCATTATCTATTAAACAAGTAAAACACACTTCTTTCGTATCTCCTCTAAAGAAAAGTCCAACTGCACAAGAGGAATACACAGGGATGCTCATTACAGGCAATGTTTGGAATACTAGGAAAATGGGGGGTGAGGCTGGGGCTGTGGTGCACACCTGTAATCCCAGGGGTGCGGGAGGCTGAGGCAGGAGGATCACAAGTCCAAGGCCAGCCTCAGCAATTTAGCAAGGCCCTAAGTGACTGAGTGAGACCGTGTCTCAAAATAAAATAAAAAGTGCTGGGGAAATGACTCAGTGGTTAAGTTCCCCTGTGTTCAATCCCTGGTGCAAAACAAAACAAAACAAAACCCAATAATTACAGGAACGGAAGGATGGGACAATACTCAGCATTTAAAAAAAAAATATGTCCGAGTAGAAGACGCCGAGGACAAACTGCGGAACACAACAGTAGGATAGCTGGAGTGTAAACACAAAGCTAAACCAAACAATGCATATTCATAGCAAAGTTCTGAAAGTACACAGGCAGATGATCTATGGAGAAGTAAGATTGAGTGGTAGTCAGCAACGTTTTAATATTTTATGCATTCTATTAATTCTGACAGAGCAAATGTATTCATGGGTTATTCATAGATGCAAAATTCCTTTTGTAAAAAATTGCGGCCACTTGGA